ACATTGAGGCAGAGCCCTTGACCCTTTCACCCTGTAAACATCCTATACAAACATCCTGATAGCTTGCCCCACCTTATGCAGATGACAGCTTCTTGCTCCCCCCACCCTGCAGAAACTATATAAACCCTCTTGGAGAAAAATAAAGTTGCACCTTGATCAGAATCTAGACTTGGTGTGTTTCCTTGTATCTCCTGTCTCTATCATTCCGTCCTTAGGGTGGTCGAGAACCCGTTGAAGCCCTGCAGGCGGGGCATTTAGGTATTTATTTATTTTTTTATTTAATTTTTTTTATTTTTATTTTGCAATACAATTCAGTTCTACATATCAGCCACGGATTCCCTTGTTCTCCCCCCTCCTGCCCCCCTCACTTTCCCCCAGCCCACCCCCCATTCCCACCTCCTCCAGGGCAAAGCCTTCCCTGCAGACTGAGATCAACCTGGTAGACTGAGTCCAGGCAGGTCCAGTCCCCTCCTCCCAGGCCGAGCCAAGCGATCCTGCATAGGCCTCAGGTTTCAAACAGCTGACTCATGCAATGAGCACAGGACCCGGTCCCACTGCCTGGATGCCTCCCAAACAGACCAAGTCAATCAACTGTCTCACCCATTCAGAGGGCCCGATCCAGTTGGTGACCCCTCAGCCATTGGTCCACAGTTCATGCGTTTCCATTCGTCTGGCCACCTGTCCCTGTGCTTTATCCAACCCAGGTCCCAACAATTCTCGCCCATATAAACCCTCCTCACTCTCGCCAATTGGACTCCCAGAGATCCACCCGGGGCCTAGCCATGGATCTCTGCATCCAGATCCCTCAGTAGTTGGATGGGGTTTCTAGCACGACAGTTAGGGTGTTTGGCCATCCCATCACCAGAGTAGGTCAGTTCGGGCTGTCTCTCGACCATTGCCAGCAGTCTGTTGTGGGGGTATCTTTGTGGATTTCTGTGGGCCTCTCTAGCACTTTGCTTCTTCCTATTCTCATGTGGCCTTCATTTACCATGGTCTCCTATCCCTTGTTCTCCCTCTCTGTTGTTGATCCAGCTGGGATCTCCCGTTCCCCTAAGCTCTCTTTCCCTTGACCCTGGCCCTTCACTACCCCCACTCATGTCCAGGCTGTTCATGTAGATCTTATCCATTTCTCTGTCATTGGGCGATCCCCGTGTCTTTCTTGGGGTCCTGTTTTCCAGGTAGCCTCCCTGGTGATGTGAGTAGCAGTCCAGTCATCCTTGTTCCACATCTAGTATCCTCCTAAGGATGGCCATTTTTACTATGTTAATCCTATCGATCCATGAGCATGGGAGATCTTTCCATCTTCTAATAAATTCTTCAAGTCTCCAAGTTTTTTTTTAATTTAATTTATTTTATATGTATAGGTGTTCTGCTTGCATGTATGTCTCTATACTAGATGGGTGCCTGGTAACAAGAAAGCCAGAAGGGGACATCTGATCTCCCAGGATTGGAGTTACAGACAGTTGTGATGTGGGTGCTGGGATTCAAACAGTGTTCTTAACCACTGAGCCATCTCTGCAGCCCCAAGTCTCAAAGTTTTTATCATACAAGTCTTTTACTTGCTGGGTTAGAGTAACCCCAATATATTTTATATTATTTGAGGCTATTGTGAAGTGTGTTGTTTCCCTGATTTCTTTCTTAGTCCAATTGTCATTTGTATATAGGAAGGCTACTGATTTTTTGAGTTAATTTTATATGTAACTACTTTGCTGAAAGTGTTTATCAGCTGTAGGAGTTCTCTGGTGGAATTTTTGGGGTCACTTGCTGTGGATATCGTTCTGTATAAATAAAACACTGATTGGCCAGTGGCCAGGCAGGAAGTAGAGGCGGGACAAGGAGAGAGGAGAACTCTGGGAAGCAGAAGGCTGAGTCAGAGTCACGCCAGCCGCCACCATGACAATCAGCATGTGAAGACGCCAGTAAGCCATGAGCCATGTGGCAAGGTATAGATTTATGGAAATGGATTAATTTAAGCTATAAGAACAGTTAGAAGAAGCCTGCCACAGCCATACAGTTTGTAAGCAATATAAGTCTCTGTGTTTACTTGGTTGGGTCTGAGCGGCTGTGGGACTGGCAGGTGAGAGAGATTTGTCTGTGGGCAAGGCAGGAAAACTCTAGCTACAGTCACTTACATATACTATCATATCATCTTCAAATAAAGATACTTTGACTTCTTCCTTTCCAGTTTGTATCCCTTTGATCTCCTTCAGTTGTCTTATTTGCTGTAGCTAAGACTTCAAGTACCGACCGAGGAAGGAGGAGCTCTACAAGTTTGAAGCTATACTGGTATACTTGATGAGTTCCAGGTCAGCCAAATCTACATAGGGAGTTACAGGCCATCCAAGGCTATAAAGTAAGGCCCTTTCTCAAAAAATAAAAAGGGAAGTCTTGGGAGATGGCTCAGAGATTCAGACACCCCAAGCCACATACAAGCTTGATGTGGTTGTGTTCAATTGTAGCCCTAGCACTTGGGGGAAGGAGACAGGTGGATACCTGCTGGACAGCTTTAATGAGAAGGCTCCTCTCAAAACACAAAGTGGCAAGTGATAGAAAAGGACACCTAACTTCAACCTCCGCTGGTTAACGCCCCCCCTCTTTCACACACACACACACACACACACACACACACACACACACACACGAGGACATGCAAAGATATGCATATACACATACATCACATACATACACACAAAATAAATGACAACTTTTTAAAAATACAGATAAAGACATAGTACATTTTGTATGCATATTTCCAAATGTATGTGTAAATCCTTCAGAATCAACTTGGAAGGACACAAGCCAATCCAATAATGCTGGCTGCCTTCACAAAGGGGCTGAGGAAGATACCCGTAGGAGATATTAAACATACGGAACTTAATTTAACCTTGTTTGTAATATTGCAACTTTTATGAAGAGTTTACTTACATATTAGTTTAAATATTATACAATATGTGTATGCATCAAAACATCACATGGTACCCCATAATATGTACAACTTGTATATGTCAATAATTTTTAAAAGAAGCAGTGACTTCAGACTGACAACTGTAATTTGATTTATAACTTTGATATACCTAAAAAAAAAAAAGGAACCAATGAGCCCTGGATACATAAATATATGAAACCAACATAGAAGATCACACTGTCAACTAGTTAATTTTCATGTGCCTTTCTCCACCTCTAAGGTTTAATTATGAATAAATTTTGATGAAATTCGGGTGTACAATTAAAGTATACTAATCAGAAGAGTAACTACCAAATAGGGCCGTTATTTAAGATATATAATAAGGATTACAACTTAGTAAAGGGGAAAAGGTAGTGGTCAGGTTAATGTAAGCTATGTTACAGTTCTGTTTCTCATTGTCAAGCAGCATCCTGGTTTTCATGGACCAAGCTCTTGTGAGGTAATCAGCATGAGTCAGCCTCTTGTGTCTTAGCAGTCCTGGAACGCTGAGCAGATCAAGTTTCTAAGACTATAAGACTGAAAATCTAAATTGGACTGACGATGAAAGCACCAGGCCATGCCAGCCAACAGGGTCTGTTGATAGCCAGCTAGCTACCATTCTTCGTGATAACGCACTTCTGCCATTCCTCATCCAGTTATGATACCATGAGGGGAGGGGAGGGCTCTGCAGAAGGAACATAACCAGTAGAAAATGCATTTAAGTATCAACAGGTGGTGGATGTGGGGAATTATGGATGATTTCAATGTTTTATGTTGCTTTTTTTTTGTATTTTGCAAGCTTTCTTCGGTGATCATATATTATTTTAATGTTTTGAAAATGTGTTTAAATAATATTGAGATGAAGAAAATCCAGAGGACAGACACTTGTCTGAGCAGGGGGATACTCTCTCCAAACTGAACTCTTTCCCTGTGCACTAAGGACTTGAAGTGGTTTATTTACCAGTCATTGCATTTGCGTAGGTAGTGACTGCAATGGAAACTATTTGCCGAGAAATCCGTGTCACTGTATTGAACTGCATCATTGACTGGCTGTTTTAACCTGAAAATCCCAGCTCAGTGTTCTTGAGCACTCACCCTTCATCATCATTATCAAATATTTGCTAGTCACCTTCCAAGGTGCCTGGCTCTTTGCTACACTTAGTGAAGAACAGGCTGTGGCGGTGGCAGTGGTGGCCCAGAGGCAGCTCGTAAGGAGAAGAAACTTAAGAGAGAGAGAAAAAAGATGAACGAAAATGCAAAATCACTGTGGCCAGAGTGAGGTGGCCAAGGAAGGCTTAGATTTAGAACTCGAAAGGTCAAGCGGCAGCCTAATTCTCTTACCCCACACTTCAGAAAGCAGGTGGTACTCCAGCTGAGCCCTGACTGGGGTGCAGGGTTTGGAACAGCAGAGAGCAAAAGGTGGGGGTGGGGACTGTAGAGCAAAGGCCCTGGGGACCGCTTGCAGGAAGCGATTCCCCAAACCTGTCACAGTGTCCTCTGCAGCCTTCTTCCCTAACCCCCTCTCCCGCTTTATTTTCAGCTGAATCTTTGTCACCTACACACTACAGGGAAGCCTTCCAAAGCAGATACTCCCCTGCCAGCTGTCCCATCAAGGCCACCCTCGGTCGCTGCTCGCTCCCGCCTGCAACACTTGCTTCCTCAAAGATCCTTAACTGCTTCTTCCTTCCCACACTGCGGACTCTAAGGAGGCAATAACCCCAGGGAGCTCTCTTTTGTTTGGCTTCAGAGTTTAAACGGACTTTTAAGTCAAATAAAGATCCGGAAATCGAATCGCTCAGCCCTTGAGCGCAAACGCGTCTCTCCTTTCAGTTTTGAAGTCCCCGTGGGTTCCTACAACTAGTCCCTCAGAAGTGAGAGCAACTGCCTGTGCGCACAACAGGCGTGCAAAATTAAAATAGTCACTTGCAGTGTTTCGAAAATAACCCCAGGAGAGCACATTGCCTAGGGCGACACATTCTGGGCAGTGAGCGGCCAGCCCGTGGGCGCAGCACGCAGCTGCAGGACCCACGCCCCGCCCCCGCACGCTCGCCAGGGGAGGCGGTGCTAGGGCCGCTGACCCGCCGCACTTGCCGGCCTCGAGTCTCCCGGCCGCTGCGGGCCCTTTCAGTGGAACGGAGGATGCCGCCTCGGCACCTGGAGGTCACGGGAGACTGAGTGGAGACCGGGGCGTTGAGGGCCGCAGCCTAGAGCACCGGAAGCTGAGCCGTCGCCTGAGCGGACTCCGAGGCCGCTGGAGCAGGGCGCCGCGCGGGAACCATTAGCCACGCAAGTGAACGAGCCCTTCGAAGGTTTCCGCAGGCCCGGTGTCCAAGCTTCCCGAGTGTGGATTGGGGGACTAGGGACGTGGCGCAATGAGGAGCCGGAGTAACTCGGGGGTTCGCCTGGATGGCTATGCTCGGCTGGTGCATCAGACCATCCTGTGCCATCAGGTAAGTGTAAGCAGGGGTGAAGTGAGAGAGGCTGGACACTGACCTTGGGTGAACCCCGGAATGCATTTGTCTGTGCGGAAGCCCTAAAAGATCCTGAAGGAAAGTTACACGTTGAACCCGAGGCAAGAACCCAAGTGTGGCATGAACAACCCCCACCCCTCTGCAGTAATTCCTGAGTAGTAGTTTCTGAGCTTAGAGGTACACCCCCCCCACCCCACCCCCACCCCGCCTCCAGCTACAGCTGGGTTCCAGGACCAGAGTTGCAAGAGGTGATAACACTTGTTTATTGACGCCCTCACCCCAGGTTTGTGCCATCTACTTCCACCCCCCACCAACGATGGAGGAGAACATTTAGCCATCCTAAGAGACCTTAGACTATTTTGAAGGTCAAGGCACTTTGTGTATACTTTTAAACTTTGTGTAAACTATTTAAAAAGTTTTGCTCAGTGGCTTAGGCTGGCCTTGAACTTGGGATCTTCCTGCCACAGCCTTCTGAATTTAGATAATAGATCATAAGCCAATGGGTTTTTTTTGTTTGTTCCCTAAGTTGTTTTTGTTTTGTTTGTTCGAGACAGGATTTCACCATGTAGCCCAGGCTGACCTCAAACTCTCCATCCACCTGCTTTATCTCCTCAGTGCTGAGATTACAGGTATGCACCATAGCACCTGGCTAATACATACTTTTTGGAGTTGTTTGGTTTGTTTTGGGAACAAAGTCTTACTCTGTGGCCCATGATGGCCTGAAACTCACTATGTAGCCAAGGCTGGCCTTGAAATAACATCAGTCTTCCTGCTTCAGTCTCTCCAGCCAAGGAATTATAGGCATAAGGCACCACACCTGATTGTATATGTTTCTACTATATTTCTTCTGCTCCTTTACTTTATTAGTAGTTGAATTTAAAAAATGATTTTAGAAATTCTTAGTAATACATGTAATAATAATACCTTTAATAATGCCTTTATTTTAATGATACCCGCATTTTGGATTTTTAAGCCTTCAGCCAGCTCTTTCCTTGGTCTTAAGATAGCTCATGGGAAGAGAACAAACTTTCTGTTACAAAGTGAGTATATTTTGCAACACAGATTAGCAACAGCAGCACACTGACTAGTCCATAATACTTTCATTGTGTACTTGAAATTTGCTGAGAGAGTAAATCCCACCATATCAAAGTGAGGTGATGGGCATAGTAACTTGATTGTGCTAGTCATTCCACAATACATTCATGTATGTGTCAAATTATAATGTTGCAGGCTGTAAATATTTATAATTTTATTGTCAGTTATAGCTCTGTAAAGCTGGGGGATAATGTCTGCCTGAAATTGGTAAAAAGAAAAGTTCTAAAACTCAAGAATGGGAAAGAAGGAGTAAGACTAAAATTTCCAAATAAAATATTTCATAGATTGTTTCCTGTAACACTCTGAACTTAACTGCGTGTCCTCTCTTGATTGATCTTGCAGAATCCAGTAACAGGATTGCTTCCAGCCAGTTATGATCAGAAGGATGCTTGGGTCCGAGATAATGTGTATAGCATCCTGGCTGTGTGGGGTTTGGGCCTGGCATATCGGAAAAATGCAGACCGTGATGAGGACAAGGCAAAGGCCTATGAACTGGAGCAGGTAATCAAAATAAACCCCTGTAGAGATGTGGAGCTACATGTGGTTGTAGTAGGGTGAGTGGGAGTGGAAGGCAATGTCAACCCTAGGCTGTCTTGCTGAAACTGCCTTCTATAAAGGTTTCCTGTACTGTAGCTGAAGCAGTTTTGGTTAGGTTTAGTTTGGTTTGGTTTGGTTATTGCAGTGGAAACTTGAAACTTGCAGAGTCAAGGGAAGGGGTACAGTATGTTCATTACTTTAAAAATCCTACCCTGATAAGTTCCTAAAGTTAATAATCCCCTAAGTGTATTTTCAGGTTCCACCATTTCATTGAGAAGACTATTTGGGAGCAGATATATACTATTTTACTTATTTTTGGAAAATAATTATCTATATAAGCATAACTGACATAAATCAACAAGCCGTCCTCACTAGACAAAAGTAATGTTTATCTGTATAGCTGTGACCACTATTTTAGAGAGCCTGGGGACAAATTGAGGTCAGAGTCAGGAGATGATCTTAAGCCAACTTTTAAGGCACCTTCCCCTCAGTAAATTAACATCCTTTATAGAACTTCTGAACACGAAGGGAACTATATCCTCTGAAGTGTCTAAAAAAAGCAATGATTTGGCATCATTTGGATTACATGAGACCTTTAATGATAAAGTACTCTGCTATCAGTTGTAAGTATATGGGCATCCTTTTCCATTAGTGAGAAGGAGCCTTACCAGACCAGCCATTTTCTCCTGTCGTTTCCCTTGAATTTAGAAAACTAGAGCTCCATTTGTGATCTATAAGTCAGGATATTGAGATTTGGTTATTTTTAAGAGCAGCAATATATTCAGGAGTTGTAGTTCCCGGCAGTGAGACAAGTCTCACTGTGCTGTCTTCAGCAACAGCAGGCGTTTGTGTAATTCTTTCAAGCCATTACTGAGAGACACAAAAATTGATGGAGTTTTTGCTCTAGCCTAGGAAGTACAGACTTTTGTAGAAATAACGTCATAATAGAAATTTGGAAGACGTAGTAGTATTTTTTAAAACCCCTAGGCCTACATCCTATCCTGAATGTTTTGGATTTTTATCTCAGTAGTAACCCCTAGGCCTACATCCTATCCTGAATGTTTTGGATTTTTATCTCAGTAGTTTTGATTTGCTATAAATTAATATCAGCAGAACTGTAAATACATGCCTGATATAATTTGATCAAAACTTTTCAAGATTATTAGAATAAATCTGTTGTCCCATCGTCCTGCTGAGTTGGTGTCTTTCCTTATTTGACCCAAGTGGGAAAATGAGGAAAAAGGTGAATTGCCAGTTCTAAAATTTTAGTGTCCTATTATATAACCTTTCACGTAGCTGAAAAATATTTTTATGTCACCATATTAGTAACTTTAGAATGTTTCAGAATATTGTGGAAATCGGAAATAGCTTCAGAAAAGCTTTTGTGGGAAATCTAAATTTTATATGGACTTGTTGTATAAATCAAAACAAATATTATTATTAGATCTCTTGTTTTAAAAAACCTGTCAGCATTAATTTAGAGTGGGGATTAGAAACCCACCCATCTTTGTAAAGGGTCAGATAATAAATATTTTTGCCATATAGGTTACTTGTCTCTAATTACTCAGCTCTGTAGGTATAGCAGAAAAGAACCAGAGATGATATGTAAAGAATTAGCATGGCAGAGTTCCAATAAAACTTTATTTACAGAAACAGTTATGGGTTGGATTTGTCCCTGACCCAGATGAGTAATTCTAAACTCTGGTGGTACATTGGAATTGCTTGGAAAGCTTTTCAGAGATAGCCTTACTGGACCTCACTTTCAAACAGTTTAAGATTCTATTATAGACAGATCTAATAATGTGCCTAGATAATAACTGATCTATAACTAGTAAATTATCTGATCTATAACTAGTAAATTAAATCCAATACATCCATGGATTAAATTTATACCTATTGCCAACATAACATTACTGTGTAGATTTCCCCTAAAACATTGTTAATCATTTATATACTTTCTTCCAACTTTTATTTTAGCTTCTCTCTCATAAACTCTGAGAATAGAAGAGAATTGTGGATGAGAAGAAGAAATGGCTTTAACTAACTTCTATATTGTATATTGGAAATAGAATTATACACAAGTATACTTTTACAAAAGTCCCCTTGCTTGGGCATATAGATACGATCTCATAGCTATAAAAATAAATATTCAGGTAAATCAAGGTCTCTTTGGCTGCCTCCAATTCTGGTTCTTTTATTTTCTTGTATCATCTCTCATCTTTTTTTTTCATGGCTTTTCACACCTTTATGAGAATGATATCCAGATCTCTTCTTTTAACTCTAATCTCACTTGAGACCCAGACTCTAGTTTTTATTTGTCTGCTTACTAGTTTTCCCTGTGTATCCTGTGGTTCTTCAAACTCTGTGTGCCTGAAAACCCACCTTTTTAAGTAAAACCAAACACAATACCCTACCAAACAGTAGCAACTTGCTGTTTCTCTTAAAGGTGTCTTCATTTTATAGTCGCCCTCACAGTATTCCTTAAAAAAATTCTCATAGTGTGGTTTGTGGAACACAAGGGTAATTGAAGATCTTCTAGATTGTGAAACAAGAAAGCTGTGTAGAAAGGTAGAGAAGCTATTCTGTGCTGTGATGTTCTAAAACATACTCGCTACTCATGCCAGGCATGCATGTGATCTGTATATATAATTCAAACACCCATACATATAAAATGAAAAAGAAATCTTTAGAAATAAAATGAAAAATTTGAAAAGATGCTATGGAGGCTGTAGGGCATATACTAGAGGATCCTTAGAGCTATGTGAGTTGACTTGCTCCTTTTCTCTAGGTGGAGTCTCCCCTGTTAGATGGTTAGCTTATTTTCAGGTAAAACTGCCAAACTTGTATTATTATTCAAATCCAAGTATTCATAAACTATGGCTTTTGATTCTTCAACTTTTAACTGCAATCTGTTCTGTGTACCTATAAAGTAAATACCATGTAAATAGAACCCAGGATAGGGTTACTTGTTCTCAAAAGGTCATGTACCGACTGAAGTTGCTGAGTAAGTGTTCTTGTATCTGGTATGTTTATAACAGTCTCGTTTCCATTTATTTCTGCAGAGTGTAGTGAAGCTAATGAGGGGACTGCTGCACTGCATGATCAGACAGGTATGGAATTGGAAACAACTCCTAAGAAAACAGCTGGCAACATCCTAATCATGCTTATAGCCCTTTTTCAGATTCACAAATAGTACACTCTAATTTTAGAAAGTTTGGAACTCTCATGTGGGGGATGTCACACTCAGACTTACCACCCTGTTACAACGGGAGTTTTTCCTTCCAGTCTTTTTCCTCCTTTTACAAATGATTTTTTTAAAAACTGTTTAAACTCTTAGATCCAGATCAGTTCTAGAACTAATACGTTTTCAGATTTTTAAAAAGATAACATAGTATACGTATCATATAATTTCTCATGTCTTCAGTGGATGGAGAAAAATACTCTACAATAAAAAAACATTTTTTTTGTAGGGAATCATTCCTTTTACACTAAATGGAATAAAGCCTATAAATAGCCCTATATTGATTTGAATTTAGGGTTTCCACCAAATGAGTATTGATGTAAAATGTAGTTAGAAAAAAAAATCAAAGTATTTTCAATTTTAGGATTGGGGATAAGGGATCTTGAACTTCAAGTGATTAGCATTCCCTGACCTTTAGTGTGGCTGAATGTCCTTTTATATATGAATTGAAAATCTGTAGTCCCTTACTGGTGAATTACCTGCTAGAGCTTTGCCTCTTTTTATTTGTAGATTGTCTGTTTCTTACCTACTGAGTTCTTGTACATTATGGATATTAAACATTTGTCACATATATTGCAAATATTTTTAAAGTCTACCATTCATGTTTTAAATTTATGACATTTTCTCCACACAAACATAGTTTAGTAAGATAACTTTATTCTAAGATCTCAAAACATGTACATATTTAATCTGACTTAACTATGTGAAAATAGAAAGAAATCAACTCTCAACTTCTAAACTTCCTTATCTACAAAAGATTTTTAAATGTATATACAGTTAATTATTGTACATACCTCTTTACTAGTCTGTTCACATAATATCATTTTTCTCTCTGTATTTTTTACTTCATTTGTATTTCAGATATTTATACTTTCTGTCTTATTAAATAGGTATAGTTCATGTTTCATGAACATATTTAAAATGTCCTGGTTATTATACATCAGAGGCATACAATCACAACTACATTTCAGGAATTAGGTCGGAACTTTTACCCAAGGTTTCCTGGCTGGCCTCGAACTCACAGAGATCCACCTGTCTCTGCCTCCCCAGTGCTGGGATTAAAGGTGTGCGCCACCACCGCCCCACTGGCTGGCTTGCTGTCCTTTCTTTCTTTCTTTCTCTCTCTCTCTGTCTGTCTGTCTCTGTGTCTCTGTCTCTGTCTCTGTCTCTCTCTCTCTCTCTCTGTCTCTCTCTCTCTCTCTCTCCCCCCCCCCCCCGTGTGTATGTGTGTTAGAAATTGAACCCGGGGCCTTATGCATGCTCAGAACACATTACCACTAAGCTATACCCCCAGCTCCCAATGATTCTCTTCTAATTTGTAATTTCAGCTTTCTATAATACTATTTCTCTATTACTCTGTGTGGTTCTCATTAACACTTTTTATGGTATCCTCAAAATTTATCATCTTGGAGTTAGAGAGATGGCTTAGAGGTTAAGAGCACATATTGCTCTTGCAGAGGACCTGAATTTGTTGGGTGGCTCACAACTGCCTATAACTTCAGCTCCAAGGAATCTGATGCCCTCTTCTGGCCTCTGGGGGTACCCACACCTACAAACTGTTATGCACACATGCATAAATAAAAATATTCTCTTCTCTCAATGTATCTGTAGATTCCTACTTTAATTTCAGGAACAAATGTGTCACACTAAGTTATCTTACTAAAGTTTCTCTACAATATGGCAAAGCAAACATTTGAAAAGCATAGAAGAGAGGTGATGAACAGGAAATAGCTGGGTGGTTTTTTTTTTTTACCATTTGTTGTTTTTTTATTAAAAATAACAGATTTTTCAGTGTAGGGGAAACAGGTAACAATTTCCTTCAAATGTTGACTCAGGGTTAGTCTTAGGGAAGGCAGAGTGCACTGGTGTATGCCATAGCACTAAAGATACATAGCATATGGGTTGACCTTTCTGACCATCCTTCTACTGTTTTCTTTCCAGGTGGATAAAGTAGAGTCCTTCAAGTATAGTCAGAGTACTAAGGATAGCCTCCATGCCAAGTACAATACCAAAACTTGTGCCACGGTAGTGGGTGATGACCAGTGGGGACACCTCCAGTTGGATGCTACTTCTGTGTACCTGCTCTTCCTAGCACAAATGACTGCCTCAGGTCAGTACAAGGAGAGAGTTACTGCACACCCCTAAGCTTGGGGCATCTGCTCTGATTCTTTTGGCTTCTCTGTAGGTATTGGCCAGAAAATAAAGTATCTTCAAAGAAGCACATTAGAAATAATGGGATTTTAAAAAGTTTTATACAGCTAGATAAGTTTTCTGAGGTCTAGACAATATCTTATTGTATTGAGAAACAAATTTGCAGTGCTAAGCTAATTAATACTCTTTAAAAATAGGAACCTGGAATTCTTGGCTAGGTCTTTAGACAGGCATTTTTATTGTTTATTAATTCTCAGTTGCCAGGAGATAGGAAGGAAGGTTGAAGGTTTTTTTCTTATTTTCATACTATACACTAATATGCCTGTGATTAGTGTAGCTACAGAACCATCCACTTTATATACTCTTTATGAATAGGATCTGAATGTAAATATATGTTTTATTATTAATATTCTATGTAAGTAGTTTGTGATTATATTTTGATGCTTGATATGTAAAAGAAAATTGTAAGAAATATGGTAGCTCACATCTGTCTATAATTCTAACACTTGGGAAGCAGATGCAGAAGGATTGTTGCAAGTTCTAGGCCAGCCCTGATCTATATAGCAATTTCTAGGCCAGTCAAAGCTATATAGTGAGATCCTGTCTCAAAATAAGCAAACAAACAACATAGTTTCCTTTATAGATGTAAAATTAGAGATGGAAGCCCTCCTATTATATCCAGTTCCTAAACTTAATAAGAACATTTCCACATCATTCTGAGTAAGTTAACGTATTTACAATACCATCTTTTTCTGTGGTGCTAGGGTTTCAGTGCAGGGACTCACACATGCTAGGCAAGCACTCTTTCACTAAGCTAAAATCCTAGCTCTTTAAATTTTTTGAGAGAGAGGGTTTCACTAAATTGCCCAGGCTAGCCTCCAACTTGTAATCTTCCTTTATCAGCCTCACAATTAGCTGAGATTATAGGTGTGCACCATCATATCCAGCTAGTACCACACTTGTGTGTGTATCTGTAGTGCGTGTGTTCATATGTGGATAGAAGTACATGTTTGTGTGTCTGCCTATGTGTGTGGAGGTCAGAGGTTGAATCAGGTGTCTTCTACCATTGCTTTTCATCTTATCTTTTGAAACAGGGTCTCTCCCTGAACTCAAAGCTTACTGATTGCTAAACTGACTGACTAGTGAGCACTGGGAATCTGCCTCTCTCTCTCCCCTTCCCCAAAGCTAGAGTTACAGATGTGCATGACCGTCCCAGCTTTTCTGTGGTTTCTGGGGATCACGACTCAAGTCTTCCTAATTGCAAGGCAGGTACTTTTATAGCAGAGCCGTCTGCTCAGTCCTGAATTCTGCATTTTTGACATTTCAATTTCTTTGTCTTCTTATTTGATACTAAAGGCACCCAAGTGGGAATCCCCTCAGGATATTCTTCTCTCTTTCTCTTTCAAATAAATGCTTGCTGATAAACTCTTTAATTTTTTTCTTCTAGAACACATAGTTTAGAGTCTGAATAACCTTTCTGTAAAACTATGAATTGGCTACCCAATTAGTTTTCTTTTGGATGAGAAATTTCTTCCAGAATAAATATAATTTTGTTTTATTTCTTTAAATAGAATGGTAGTTATAATTTCATTTTGAAAAATATTTTAATTTCAACCTTGGAAGCTGTTTATTTTATTTTATTGTTGTTGTTTTGTTTGAGACAAGGTTTTTCTGTGTAGCCCTGGCTGTACTGGAATTTGCTCTGTAGACCAGGTTGGCCTTAAACTCAGAGATCCACCTGCCTCTGCCTCCAAGTGCTGGACTAAAGGTGTGTGCCACCACTGTCTAGCTTTAAAACAAGGGCAGGTACTGACTAAATATCCCTGATGGTTTTTAAATGTGATCCCCCAGATGGAAGCAGAGATACATTTAAAAGGCTCATGAGATATATTCATTAAACAAATGTTTATTGATTCCTAACTTAATTAATTTTCAATTCAATCAGCTGACCTTGATAGGTACTTGTAATACAGTGGATATTACTTGATTATGTCTTTGAGAAATAAGTGAATAAATCAAAATTTACAGTTCAGAAAGGGAAAGTAATAATAATAAGTATAGAAGTTTGAAAGGCACTGGTCATCAAGGTAAGTTAGGCTAGCTATTTGAGGACTTGTATAGCATGCTAAATACTTTGAAATTATAGTCTGCAATCTGTAGAGAGCCATTCAATGAAGATAACCAAGAGACTTTAAGGTGGTTCATTCTACTAACAAGAAGATAGATTGGATGGGGGACAGAATCAAGATGGAAGATTAGTAAAGATGTTAGTGAAATACTTTTGCAAGAAATCACTCAAATTTTGTATAGTGCATTTGAATTGAAATTAAAAAGGAACTTTGTTAGATATAATTGGTGAAAAGAGTGTGAAAAATCTTCATAGAGTATTAGCAATCTTTTTGAAGATAGATTTACATAGAATTTGATTGTAGCTTATAGGACGGTAGCATGAAGAGCTCCATAGACTCCAGCAAAACAGCCCAAACTGCTGAAAATTTAAGAACAAACCAGTCCTTTGAAGCCATTGGAAATTGCCTAAAGGGACATACAGTAAGTAGAGAAGCACTCCAAGAAATGTAATTATTTAGAGAAGTGAGAGACTGTGGTATCTGGTCTCAATCCCTCTCCTATCCCAACTCAGGATAATTGAAGCATTGTCAGAGGTGGATACAGCCAGAACACAAGGCCTCCTCTCTCCTAAGCTGTAGTGCAGTGGTTCTCAACCTTCATAATGCTATGACCATTTAGTACAGTTCCTCATGTTGTGGTGACTCCCAACCATGAAATTATTTCCATTGTTACGTCATAACTATAATTTTGCTACTGTTACAAAAGGTAATGTAAATATTTTTGGAGCTAGAGGTTTGCTAAAGGGGTCGCAGCCTACAGGTTGAGAACCACTGCTCTAGTTTAATGTTCCCGATTCTCTCTCAGAAAATAGGCTGGCATCATTTATCATTCTCCCAAGCTCTGTATTGCAGAAGCCCCAGTTCAGGCAAGTACAGCTTTGGGGTCCTCCATACCCCCAGACACCAGTGAAGTAGAATCTGCCTTAGACAGAGCAGAGTGAGAATACTAGGTTGTCTGCCTCTTGGTTGGGTCAACCATCATCCTACACTGGAATATGCAAGCTGGGATGATCAGAAGCTCCAACTCCTGTCCAGAGCTTAGTGTGGAAAACAGAAGTGTCATTCCAAAGGAAATGGACCGCTGTACTCCACCAGTGCTGGAGCCCTGGCACAGAAGTTTTGATGGAGGGTAGAAACAAACTACAAAAGCAAAGCCCTTTAGCTCTTCTTAAGAAAATTAACTTTTTGAAGGAAGTTTGGGAAAGTTCAATGCAGATTTTGTTTCTTAGTAATTAAGACGAAGGGCTGGACAGATGACTCAGCAGTTAAGAGTACAGGCTGCTCTTCCAGAGAACTTGGACTCAAGTCTCAGCCCCTCCATGATGGCTCACAACCATCTGTAACTCCAGTTGCAGGAGATTTGATGCCTTCTTCTGGCCTCTACAGGCACTGCATGCACATTGTGCACCCATGCTGGCAAAACCCACACACAACAAAGTAAGTCTTTTTAAAAACATGTCTAAATAATTTAGATGAAGTTAACTGTTCAGTAACAGCAAGAAACTAAAAGACAGATTACCTAGAAATTTTAACAGATCCAAAGAAAGCTAAGGAGTGCTTCTAGGTGTTAGCCCAAGTATCAAAGACTTGACTCAAAGATTGTATGGGAAAGGGCCTGAGTTTAATTGTTTAAAATGATGGAGCAATTTATGTTTGGTGATTCCACAAAACAGTAGAGTGATCAGTTGAAGTCAGTGGTGTGGGTTTACCTTGATACCAACAGAGGCAGATATCTACCAGATCTTGGAAAAAGATAGTTAATGAGCTCCTCTCCCCAATAGCAACATTGTCTTCTAAGGATGACAGTGCATGTCCCCAAGGCTGTATCCTCTGAGGACTACCAGAGGCTGCGTGCACTGGGGGAATAAATTTTACTGAAAGATGTAGCTCGAGTTTTTTCCAGTCCCGCTTGGGCCAGCAGCCTAGTAAACACACACTTATATTACTTATAAACTGTATGGCCGTGGCAGGCTTCTTGTTATCTAGTTCTTATATCTTAAATTAACCCATTTTTATTAATCTATAAGTTGCCACATGGCTTGTGGCTTACCGGTACTTTTACCTCTTGTTTCCTCTATCTCTGGCTGGCAACTTCTGACTCAGCCTTCCTGTTCCCAGAATCCTCCTCTCTGCTTGTCCCGCCTATACTATACTTCCTGCCTGGCTACTGGCCAATCAGCATTTTATTTATCAACCAAATCAGAGCAGCATATTTACCCCATACAGAGCGATATCCACAGCAGAAAGAGTTCAGTCAAATCCCTAAATAAACAAAAACAATCCCCGCCCAGAGAAGAGGGTATCAGCATCTAGTGTTCTCACAACATACTCTATAATAATACCCAGTTTTCAAACTAAAAATTTAGACACAAAGCAAGAGGATTGGGAGTTCAAGGTCAGGCTCAACTGCACAGTGAGTTCAGGATCATCTTAGGATACATAGGGCTCTTTTCTCAAAGAAAAAGGAAAGAAGGGAAGAAAAAGAAAAAAGAGCGAGAACTCTCTTGGATATGATAGCAAAAGCATAAACAGCTAAAGAAAAATCATAATTGGAATTTACCAAAATTAATATTTATGCTTCAAAGGACCCATTCAAGAAAGTAAAAGAGAATCTATGTATAGTATGATGTCCATTTGTGATCCTAGCACTTGGGAGATATAGGTAGGAGGATCCAGAGTTAATGGTCATCCTCAACTAAATAGCAAATTCGATGCTGACCTGTAAGATTCCATTTAAATCTTACATTTAAATCTTAAATTTAAATCTCTGTCTCATGTATGTATGTATTTGTGTCATGTGTGTATGTAAAATCAACCCATAGATATAGAAGAAAATATTTGCGAACCATATATAAGCTATAAAGTATAAAGAATTCTCATAACTCATTATTTAGATTACCATCATAATTAAGTCAGATGTGGTGGGGTGGTAGATGCTTCTAAACCTAGTAGTTGGAAGGTAAAGGTGTGGTGGTCTCAAGTTTGAGGCTCTACGGAGATCCTGTTTCAAAACAAAAGAGAAAAAGAAAAGAAAAAATAGCTTCCTTTAAAATGGCCATAGTGGGCTAGAAAGATGGACCAGTATTTAATAGCACTTGCTGCTCTTCCAGAGGACCTGGGTTCAGTTCTTAGCACCCATATGGTAGCTAACAACCATCTCTAACTCAGTTCCAGGCAATCTGATGCCTTCTTCTGGACCCCATGGACACAGCATACATATGGTACACAGACATACATGCAGGCAAAGATACCCATACACATAAAAAAACCTCAAAATATTTAAAAAGTGGCTAGAGGATCTGAATTGATTTTTCTTTAAAGAGTATATATAAATAACCACTAAGTACATGAAAAACTGCTGTGCATCATTAGTCACTAGAGAACTGCTGACCTGAATCACCATAGGAACCACTTCAGCCACTCCAGAATTATAGTAATCAAGAAGACAGATAAAAGGTGTTCCTGAAGATAGGGAAAAATGGTTCCTTCATCCACTGCTCTAAGAAATGTAAAATGAGGGGAAGGAGGGGTCTCAGCAAATAAAAGTGCTTGGTAATAAGCGTGACAACCTGAATGTAATCCCTGGACCCATATGGTGGAATCTGAGAACCAACTCCCCTCAAGTTGTCCTCTGACTTTGTGTACCATGGCATGCACATGCACAAATAAATATAAATGAAAAAAATTAATGTAAATTTATACAACCATTTTGGAGAGCAGTCTAGTAATGCCTCAGAAGCTTAAATATAGAGTTGCCATATAATCTAGCAGTTTCTCTCCTAAGTATTTAGATATTCAAGAAATGGCAGCATGTTCACACACAAAAAGGTGTACATGAATATTTATAGCAGCAGTATTTATGATAGCTAAAAAGTAGAAACAATCCAATGTCTATAACATGATGATTACATAAATAAAATGTGGTGCATTCACACAATTCAATATTTTTTGCAGTAAAGGAAGTACTGATGCATCTCACAACACAAAGGGTCCTTCAAAATATTGTGTTCGGTGAACAAACACTGACATAAAGCCTGCATACTGTACTGCATACACTTCCATTTATATGAGTGTCCAGTGAGTAAAGAATTACTTTTTGTGGTGATGAACCTATCCCAACATTGATTGTGGTGATGGATATATACGGTATACACAATAAAAACCGTTATACTATATACTTGGGATCAGTGAGCTATATGATAGACTATCTCAGTAAAAAATGTTTAATAACAAATGGGGAAGAACGATATAAGCCAGTTATGCTGGACAGGTAAGTACAAGTCAATTGAAATGAAGTTGATGTAAGCTGAGTTCACTAAGTCATTGCCATTTCTGGGGCCCTGAAGTGATAACTGACCAACTCTATCTTTTTCCTTCAGGACTCCATATCATCCACAGCCTAGATGAAGTCAATTTTATACAGAACCTTGTGTTTTACATTGAAGCTGCATATAAAACTGCTGTAAGTACTTGTTTTAGAATGGACTTAAATAATGGTTTTGTTTTTGACATACTGAACAACCCATTTCTTCTCATATGGTAAACCTTATAATAAACTGATTAAAAAGGCTCCTAACAAAACCATTTTCAGTTTCTTTACTAAGATTCTCATTCCCCTGCTTGCCCTCTCACACGTGGTACAGCGATCAAGAGGGTCCCAATACTATGCTTTCATTTCTTTCCAATTTCATACCTCATGGTGTGTACTTGGCAATCTAAGACTAAACTGTAGTCATTTTATTATATTACTATTTTAATATACTTTATTAAAGCCATCACTAGCCCAAGCTGGTCCTGAACTCACTACATGAGGGTGATCTTAAACTTCTGTTTCTTCTGCCTCTACTGCCTGGGAGTATTTGAATTACAGGCATGAGCTTCCATGACCAGTTTTATGTGGTGCTAGTATTTGAGCCTTAGACAAGCACTCTTCCAAATGAGCTATATCCCCAGCCCCTTATGGTCTTATTTTAATTGAAATCTTAAAAAGAAAGCATGATTACTGAGTGATGTTATGGGCCACTTTGCTGTACATTAAAATTTATTCATGTGTTTATTGTTGGTATATTGATTTAGAATGTACTATACAAAAAGTTTTTCCCTTATAAACTGCCATATGAAGTAGGTTTATATTAAGTCATCATCTATAATACTTTCCTGTATAAAATGTTATGTTATACACTACAGAAATGTGTTTTTTCTTTAGACTGATAGGAATTTTCTGTTGCTGTTGTTCAGTGAGACTCTGTTCATAATCCCCCAACCCTCAAATAATCCAAATGGCCATCAATAGGTGAATGGATAAACAAATTATAGTATGTCCATGAAAGGTAATATTGTTCAATAATAAAAAATAATGAACTATTGACCCATGCAAAAACATAAAAAAAATCTAAAAAGCATTATGCTTAGTAGAAGTTTCAAAGCTATCAACTGAACTCAGCATAACAGGATGCAATAAGACTAAGTGTAGACCCTCATCAAGACTGGTCAGTGCAGCCCAGTAGGAGGAGATAGGTCCCAGAGCAGGCAAAAGAGTCAGAGACATCTCCATTCCCATTGTTAGGAGTCCAACAAAAACCCTAAGCTAAACAACCACAGCATGTATGCAAAGGGCCTGATGCAGATGCATTCAGGCTCTGTAGTTGTTGCTTCGGTCTCTGAGAGCCCCTATGAGCCCTGCTTAGTGGATTCTGTGGGCTGTGTTATTGTGGTGTCCTTGACCCCTCTGGTGTAGGGGGACTTTTCTGTCCCATCGGCTTGCTCCTCAGTAACCACAGAGAGGCTTAATATTAATTATAAATGCTCATCCAGTAGCTCAAGTTTGTTACTAGCTAACTCTTACATTTTAAATTAACCCATTTATATTAATCTATATTCTGCCATGTGGCATTACCTCTCTTTCATCTTGCACTTCTTGTTTCCTCTCTGTCTCTGGCTGGTGACGCCTCTGACGCCACCCTTCTTCCCAGTGTCCTTAGTCTGGTTTTCCCACCTAACCTTATCCTGTTCAGCTATTGCCAGTCAGCTTCTTCATTAAACCAATCACAGTGACATATATTTGCACAGTGTAAAGGAATATTCCACATTTCCCCTTTTTGTCTAATTATAAAGGAAGGTTTTAACTTTACCATAGTAAAATTATATACAACAAAAACAGTTGTTGAGTAAGAATTACAGTTACAAGATACAGTCCATTTGTATTTGGCAAATTTAGAGAAAATATTCTATTATTTATCTTTGTGAGTCTAAAATTTTATACCTAATTTACCTTTTCATAACTAAGGAAAACTTTAAGTCTAATTACTTAGTGTTTAATTCCATCAAAGACCCCAGAGGGTGAAATGTTACCTAATGACAGGGACATCTGGCTGCCTGGACAGTCACCCAGAATTCTTCTGTAATATTGGTACATCCATCCTCAGCCTACAGGCTTAGTATATCAGACAGACATTTTTTTTGTTTTTGTTTTTGCAAGACAAGGTTTCTCTGTGTAACAACTCTGGCTGTACTGGATCTCACTCTGTAGACTAGGCTGGCCTCGAACTCACAGAGATCCGCTTGGCTCTGCCTCCCAAGTGCTGGGATTAAAGGCATGTGCCACCACCGCCCTGCTTCTGACAGACATTTTTGAGAAGCAGGAAATTTTGAAGGACTGTCCTACAATGTCTTGGCAAAGTTTGGTGGAGTTTTTTGTTTGTTTTGTTTTGTTTTCTGTCCTGCTGGTCCAGTTTGGACAGTATACTGTCAGCAATTGAAGAAAGGGAAATTTTTTTCTTTTGCCCAAATGGCTAGCTTTTGCCATAAGGAGAGCAAACTCCATGTGGAGTTTCTTTGATACCCATCATCCCTTTTTTGAAGTAAATTAGTGCTGTCTGGAGCAGATATGTCTCACTATCATGAAAAGCCTTAGGTTATTAAACACCTTAAATGCCATATTCCGTAGGTCTTTGAAGTGTTTGAAGACCATCCGTCTATCTAAATGTATCTGTGTATGACCTTGAAAACATACTTAACATTGCTATAAATTTGACTATTATAGATGACTATGAATCTGCATTTCTTAATTATATATTATATGTTTAAATGACCTGTATAAACACAATACCCTAAACAAGAGTAGAAATATACATACAGTATAACAAAATTAACTTTAAATTTGTATCAGTAAACCAAAATCTATACCAATGTAACATATTTTGAGATTAATGTTTTTTGGATTAAAGCAGATTGAATAATCTATGTTGCACGAATCCAAAATTGTCTTGTAATAAAAACCTGGAGCCAGATATCAGGGTAAATGCTGAAAGATCAGAGGAAACAAGCCACAGCCACTTCTCACCTCGCCAGCTCCTCAGCCACATCATTTCCTGTCTCAACCTTCCTGGTGCTGGGATTAATGGCGTGTGTGCTTCCCAAATACTGGGAGCAAAGGCATGTTGTGGTGGCACATGCTGGGAGGATTTGCTGAAGGAGGCAGAGGCAGGTTGATCTCTGAGTTTGAGGCCAGCCTGGTCTACAGAGTTGAGTTCCAGGACAGCCAAGACTGTTACACAGAGAAACTCTGTCTCAAAAAAACAAAAAAAGAAAAGGAAAAAGAAAGAAGCTGTTTCTCTGTAACCTTATAATGCAGTGCTGAGATTGGTTCTCCTTTGAATTCCTCTGCCTGGATTTGAATATCTCTATGATCTGTTTTAACAAGTTTTTCTAAAACTTATCTTGGCACTCATATCAACCAACTTTTTTAATGATAAAACAAATGATCAAACAAATAATATTTATAATTGCCATTACATAAAATCCCATCTAAATTAATTATCCTCTTAGTTAATTGCTCTGTTTTCAAACTGTCTAGTGTATTATCAGAGACCAAACTCCTCCCATTGGCATAGTGTTTCCCATTTTTTAATGTGGGCAAAAATCTCCCTCTCTGACTTCTTATTAAAACTAATTGCCCCCTTTAAGAACTCCCAGTTGACTCACCAAATCTGCTGACAGTGACGATTCAGATGACAGTGGCAGCAGCCGGAGGAGGGGGCCCAGAGAAAGCCACAACCCACCAGGAGAGGAAAGACGTGAAAGGGCCCGCTGTCTGTATGGAGGAACATGGGAAGGTGGCTAACTCCTGTGGCTTTTGGAGCCCCAAAGCTGGTGGAGTTTGCTGCAGAGAGGCTGCAACAGAAGCTTAGCCGGCAGGGGAGGGATTCCGGCCGCATGGAGCTCTGGCCTGTGCTGGTGGCTGCAAAGCCACAGACAAGTGGCTTTTTTGTGAATTTGTTCTCCACGTTGGGCACCAGATGTAGCACGAATCTTAATTCATCTATAATAAAAAACTGGAGCCAAATGTTGGGGTAAATGCTGAAAGATCAGAGGAAACAAGCCACAGCTACTTCTCACCTCTCTTAACTCCTCAGCCAAATTCAGTCTGAGGATTCATGGAAACAGGATCTTCCCCTTTTGGCTGAGGAGTTGGTGATTATTGTCTTTTAGAACTTGAAATACGTCATTCCATGCCATTGTGGCTTTTACAATTTCTGTTGTGAAATCTATTATTCTAATGGGGTTTGTCTTTATATATAGCTTTCAGTATTCTTTCTTTGTTCTGTGTACGTAATATTTTAACTATACTGTAACGTGAAAGGTTTTTTTTTTTTTTCTGGTCTTGTCTGTTTGACATTCTAAATGCCTCCTGTATCTACATGGCCATGTCTTTCTCTAAACTTGGCACATTTTCTGGTGATTTACTGAATACATTTTTCTTTTCTTTTTTTGAAACAGGGTTTCTCTTTGTAGTCTTGGCTGTCCTGGAACTCACTCTGTAACCCAGGCTGGCCTCAAACTCAGAGCTCTACTTGCCTCTGCCTCCCGAGTGCTGGGATTAAGAGTGTGCAGCACTATAGCCAGCTGAATACATTTTCACTGGTGACATTGAAGCAGAAGTGCTCAGTGAGGAACAAGGAATGTCACAAGCACACAAGACAAATATAAACAAAAGGCACAGGAGCAGGAGCCTGTCTGAACAATTAACAATGTAAGCAACAAAATGGGGATACTATTCCATTATCAATCAGCAAAAGCCTAAATATCCACAGAGATATACAGTATCGATAACTGAATAAAGGGCTGGCAAGACGACAAAGTGCTTGCCATACAAGCCTGACAACTTGTGTCCAATCCCTGGAACACATGTAAAGGTAGAAGGAGAAAAACCAGTTCTAGAGAGTTGTCCTCTGAGTGCCACACATGTGCTCCAGAATGAATGCACACATGCACACGCACATACGCGCGCGCACGCGCGCACACACACACACACACACACACACACACACACACACACACACACACCAATCAATAAACAAATGAAAAACAACTGAAAAAAATCAAGGAATAATGGACTGTCTTCTTTGGAGAAGGATTATAATTAATGACCATAGAAGTGATAAGGAAAACAGATCAAAGTTACCATCAAAACAGCACAGCAGTTATTTCTGTAAGCAATTAGGGGGAATGCTGTAGCAGTGGGTGGCCGTTTAAGGATAAGCAGGCTGTTTGCATAATCTTTAACTTGTTTTTCTGAGACAGGGTCTCATCTCAGGATTGCAACCATGTGCAACCCTGCCTGGTGATAGTTGTATAGTCTTGGACTATCTCTCAAAATATTTATTAATTAAGCCAGGTGGTGGCGGCGGCGGCGCACGCCTCTAATCCCAGCACTTGGGAGGCAGAGCCAGGCAGATCTCTGTGAGTTCGAGGCCAGCCTGGTCTACAGAGCGAGATCCAGGACAGGCACCAAAACGACACAGAGAAACTATGTCTCCAAAAATATATATAAATTTAAATGTAAAATGGAAGAAGCCAGTACTAACCAAACTATGGGCTTTTACTAGTTTTTAGTGTCAAGGCCCCGAGGGACAAGATTGGAGGAACCACTGTTGATTGGAAGTCACTAAGGAGACATGGCAGGAATGACATAGAATCTTGGAAAGTATAAAAGGTTACTAGTAGTCAGGCATGGTTGTATGTGCTTATAATCCCAACTCTTGGGCGGTACAGGCATATGAAGTCCATAGTTAACTTTTTAACAATTGTACTGTGATTATGTTCAATGTTAACATTAGGCAAATCTAAGTGAAAAGTATTAGAGGACTCATTGTACTATTTTTGCAATTTCTGTGTAATTCTGAAGTAAAAATAAAAAGGTCTTAAAAGTAATTTCAAATACTTTTATATTACCAAGGAGATGTGTACAGTTATGGCTAAGACTAGGTTTTGGAGTGCCATTCCTTGGAATCTACTCTTGGTTCTGTCACATCACCTGTATGACCTTGGGGGAGTTACTTAGTGCCCTTTTTGTAACTCAATTTTATCACCTGTAAAATGTGAGGACTAGGGAAGAGAACGCACGTATTGTACACTTTCAGGACCAAGAGAGTAAGATTAGTCTGTGTGTTTGACATAAAATACCAGCTACTGTTTAGCCTCCATGTGCTACACTTTATGGGAATTGCCTTTGGAGAAAACTTGAGAAGTGTTCCTAGATGAACTGAGTTCTAGTTCTTAGACTTCCTGATTAAGTGTTGGAGACTCCCAACTTCTTAGAGGCCCCAATTTAAGTCATTGTCAGCTCCTTGATAGTCAGTGTGGATGTGTGTGTGTGTGTGTGTGTGTGTGTGTGTGTATGTGTGTTGGAAATTTGCTACTATTGATGTTTTTTATTCAAGGATTACATATCTAGTGAATGTTTAATGGTTATGATTTTCTAGTTATATCTTGATTATTTTATGCCAGGACTTTGGAATATGGGAACGTGGAGACAAGACCAACCAAGGCATCTCAGAATTGAATGCGAGTTCAGTTGGAATGGCCAAGGTACATTTTCTTTTTTATTTTTGCCACATCTGGTCAGTGGAGTCTGGTTTACCTTTGTCATACATAAAAATTTAGTGTACATGTGGACCATCAAACTGTTCTTTAAACCACAGACAAAATTCAAATTCCTTCATATGAAAAGATGAATATATAATATTAAAAACGTTTTTGTAAGTTCCAGATTTGGTATCATATGGCTTTTGCGGCCTGCCTATGTTTATAGATCCTAAAGGACAACAAGTTTCAAACTATATTCACCATCTTTGCCATTTTATAAACTAAGAGAAGCTTTTTCTCCCCACATGGTCCAGTCTACCAAGCTTGGTATCAGATAGTGATCTCTGAGTCCTCCATCCCCTCTACTCTCCTCTGCCTCCCATAACATTATCACCTTTCCACTTGGCTGTGTCTTTCTTATTTTCTCTAGAAACAGTAAGAATGTATAAAATAGGACAGCAGGAGTAAGCTCAAACATTATTATGGTAAATGTACATGGCTCAGTCATTCCTACTAAATGTTTAGGAAAGATGCGGATTGTTTTTCAAAAAGAAGTAAATACAGTATATACTTTTCATGTCATAATGATACTGAAAGTTTAAAACTAAGGCAAAGTAAAGTCTAAAAATGAAAAAGAAATAAAATACAATTCAAAGCAAAAAATATTACATGGAATAAAGAGAAGAAATGGGTCATGATAGACTTTTGATAGACTCTATAATGAGAAAATGTGGTCTGGAATGCAGTTTCAATTAATAAAGAACACAATGTTTTAGAAATACAAGACAAACAGATACAATTACATAAAGAAACAATCTAACAGCAGACATTGTGAGACAGCAAAGCCCAAATAAGATCATAGGAAGTTCTGGGCAAGCATTCTAGGCTGAGTTTCAGCTAAAGAAAAGTTTCAAGAATGTCAGGAAAAATCCATACATCATTCATGCAAGGTTTATTAATATTTGCTTTATCTTTCCGTCTTCCTGGTTATACACACATACGCATGCTCACTTGCACACGCACATACACACTTTTCTGAGCTAATTGAAAATATACAAACTACAGGCACGATGAATTACTACTACTTAACACTTCATTGTGAACTTCCTCAGACTCTCTGGTAACCTTGGCATGACCATCAAAATCAGGAACTGAGTGATTATACATAACACAGAACCTACTCAGTTTTTAAAAATTGTCCCAATAATGTCATTTTTCATAAAATAAAAATCCCTCCGACACAGTATCCAGACCAGGATAGCAAGTTATATTTTGTTGTAACATCTCTTTTTAGCTCAGCCAGTCTAGAGCAATACTTTATAGTCTTGACTTTGATGACACTGGCACTTTTGAAAAATACAGACTAGTTTTTGTTTGGTTGATTGGTTTGGTCTTAGGGCTGGAGTCTTTTGCCTACATACTCTACCACTGGTGTAGCTGTACCTCTAATACTTACTTCACTTTTCTGTTTGTTTGTAGTAATATCTCTGGTAGACCAGGATGGCCTTGAACTCAGTATTCTGCTGGAGGTAATCTTGAACTGATCCTCCTGCCTTTGCCTCCCAAGGATTACATGTGTGCAGCCCTACTCCATGCTTCCCACACCACTCCATGCCCCCTTACCTTTTGGTACCCAAATCTAGACTGGTTATTCTGTGTACTCCAGACCAGTACTTTTATTTTGTGTGGTATTTCTTCATTATTCACGTTATGTGTTTTTAGGAAGACCATCCCAAAGACATTGCTGTATCCTTCATATGTCATCAGGAAATTGCATGGTGTAAATTTGTCTTTGATCACTTCATCAAGGTGTTGTCTGCTAGTTTAATCTACTGTAAATCTGCTACTTTTACCATTCTTGTTAATGAGTATTTTGTGCTTGCTCAACTTCTACTTGTCCTTTAGGTCTCTCAGTTTAGCTGGTATTTTTCCAGGGAAGCTACCCAGAACTACTTCGTGCTCCCAAGACAAGGTCAGGTTGGCCTCATATTTGAGGAAATACAGATAAGCAATAAATACTTGAGATAATATCTAACCTTATTGGCAGTTTAAAGCAAGTGAATGCAAAAACATACACCTTTTAAAATCAAAGTATAAAACTTAAGGTATTTTGTATTAAGAAGAGTACTGTCATATACTGCTAGTGGTAAGTTATATTGGTATAATATACATAAAAAGCAGTTTAGCATTTGATCTCAAAAACTGTCCACACCCTTTGACCTACTGATTCTACTTCTAGAAATTAATGCTTATATATTTCAAAATGAAAACAAATAATTATTTGTTAGCTTAACAGTAAGGCTACTATATGCCATTCTATGGGCTTGATATTGTTAGAAACACCATCCATGAACTCAAAAAAAATTGCAGTTTGGCAAGAGATGTTTATCAAAGTACCATTTCTACAATAATGAAATGGAAGATGGCCTAGATTTACAGCAACTGGTAAATGGCAAAATATATTTTATTGCAGTCATATGAGAGACTATTATGCCAAAATAGAGTTTTATAACAAGGAAAAACTTATATTCTATATTAATTATTTTTTAAAAAGTAAGATACAGCTAAGAGCAATGGTGCATGCTAATAATCCCACCACTTAGAATGCAGAGGATGAGAGTTCAAGGTCAACCTGGGCTTTATGTGTATCTGAGGCCAGTCATGGCTACCTGAGACTATGTCTCAAAAAAAAAGTTAAAAATACTTAAAAAAGCAAGATAGCACTGGAGAAAAACTAATAGAAAACATCAGCGATATTAACGGTGGGCTGGTAAGACAGCTGCATGGGTGAAAGCGCCTGCCATGCAAGCTGAGCCACCTGAGTCTGATCCCAGAACCCACGTAAAGGTAAGGAAAACCCAATCTACAAGTTGTCTTCTGTCCTTCACACGTGCGCTGTAACACACACAAACCTGAACTCACACATACACACCACACACACACATCTATGTTCGTTCATATGGTAATGTCAAAGGAAGTACTAACAGGCTGATGAGTTGGCTTAGCAGGTAGAGGTGCTTGCCACCAAGCCAGATGACCTAAGTTCCATTCCCAGAACCCACAGGGTAGAATAAGGAATTGACTCACACATAACCCCCAGTGCACACAAAATAAGTAAAAGTATGTTTTACCTTTGTGATCAGAAATTGCATGTAGAAAAGCAAGAAATTAATAGTTTCTAAAAATTCTCTTGAGACAGACAGGGTCTCCCAATATAGCCCCAAGGATAGCTTCAAATTTCCAATCCTCCTGCCTCAGATAGTCACATGCTCCCACACTTGGCAATTTATTTTATTTATTATTATTATTATTATTATTATTTTGGTTTTTAGAAACAGAGTTTCTCTGTGTAGCTTTGTGCCTCTCCTGGAACTCACTCTGTAGACCAGGCTGGCCTCGAACTCACAGAGATCTGCCTGCCTCTGCCTCCCAAGTGCTGGGATTAAAGGCGTGCACCACCACCACCCCCGGCTTTGGCAATTTATTTTAAAAGCATGATTTTACTTATATTTAAAACTAAAAAATCAGCCTCTCAAAGTAGAATCTAGTGATGGTGACCGGGATAAAGGGGAGGGGAAGAAATGGTCAAGGGGTTCAAAGATTTAGGTAGACATGAGGAGTAACTTTGTGGATCTGTTACTCTGTACGCTCACTACACTCTATGAAAACACATTGTGTATTTTAAAAAACATGAAAACTTCTTCTTTACATTGCCAACTAATATTTGTTTAAAAGTTGAATGTATTATCTTTCTAGGGCATTTGCCTCTATATGGAAACTATAAGTCAGTGCCTAATAGTTCCTGGATTATCTTGCAGCCACACAACTTTTTAAAAAAACTTCTTTATTGACTCTTTGGAGTTTCACTTCATGCACCCCAATTCTGTTCACTTCACAGTCCCCCCCCCATATCCTCCCCTCATCCCTGCTACGCCCCCCATAAGGAAACAAATCAAAGAATGGAAGCAAAAGCAAAAACAAAAAACAAAATAAAAACCCCAAACAAAACAAAACACAACCACTTCAACAGAAATCTCTTTCCTTCTCCTCTTTCCTGCTTCTCCATCACCTCTTCATGCGTCCTGGTGGCGCTGGAGGCTTCGGTGTGCCGTATGGTGTACCTCTTTGTCCCATCAAAGTGTTCATTGCTGTGAGGCCTCTGGTTTCTGGTTCACCATCATCACTGGCTCCTCACCAGAACTCCTCTGGGATATCCTGTGGCTGCCACAAGTCTTAGAGATCCTGCGAGTATCGTTCCACAGGACCAGTCCCTTCACCAGCTCCAGCAGATCCTAGATGGGGTAGATGCTAGGGTGGATCAACCCAAGGCCTGGCTGTGGGCCTGGATGGTAGCCAAGCTGGTCAGCCTGGGCCACTGGGGATGCCCCCTTGGGCAAGGGTGGAACAGTATCAACTCTTTTAAAAAAATTGCAATCAACTAGCAACAGACCAGGAACTCTGTCAGCTAATTATATACCATGCAGAATCTATAACCATGAGCCATTAAATACTCAAATAAGTGAGATATCTCTTTAAAAAAATTCAAGAAGGCTCATTATTGAGTGTTATAACTGGGTATTAATTAGATACTTTAATCATCACAGTAAGTACGAAAAAGTAAAGTTTTATCAGAATTGGCATGGAAGACAGAAAATATCATTAAATAATTGTATCACTGTAGAAAATGAACATGAAAAGGATTCTATACACAAAATGTCAGCATTAGAAAGAGTTCTGAAATGCAACTAAACAAAGCATTAATATACTTTATATATGTATACAGTAATATATAAAATTGATTATATTTCTACATACCCAAAGTGGTTCTTTTTTTTTTTTTTGGTTTTTCGAGACAGGGTTTCTCTGTGTAGCTTTGCGCCTTTCCTGGAACTCGCTTTGGAGACCAGGCTGGCCTCGAACTCACAGAGATCCGCCTGCCTCTGCCTCCCGAGTGCTGGGATTAAAGGCGTGCGCCACCACCGCCCGGCCCCAAAGTGGTTCTTAAGTGCAGTTTTTAAAGGCAGTCTTGTATTTACAGAACTAATATAACATATTACATATATATTTATATTTTACTTAGAATTCACAAAAATAGGAGCAATTCATTTCATGAAAAAAATTACAAAATTTTGAAAACATTAGAAAATAACCAAATAAATGAGCTTTGAGTTCACCAATAAATAGCCAGAGAGGAGATGAGGAAGGAAATAGTATGTGTAGAGAAAAATCACCAGTGTACAATGAGATAGACACACACACACACACACACACACACACACACACACACAGTGGAGGGAGGTGGGAGTGATGGGAGGTCATAATAAAATCCTCTGTTTGGGGATTAAATTGAAATTTTTAATTAAGAATAAATATTTTTATTTAATTTTTTTTTCATTTTACATACTGTCCCCAGTTCCCCCTCCCTCTCCTTCTTCTGACCCCCATCCACTCCTCAGAGGGGGTTAGGCCTCCCTTGGGTAGTCAACAAAGCCTGGCCTATCAAGTTGAGACAGGATCAAGCCCCTCCCGCCTACATCAAGACTGAGCAAGGCATCCCACCATAGGGAATGGGCTCCAAAAAGCCAGTTCATGCACCTGGGATAAGTCCTGGTCCCACTGCCAGGGGCTCCTCAAACAGATCAAGCCACACAACTGTCACCCACATTCAGAGGGCTTAGTTTAGTCCCATACAGGTTCCCCAGCTGTCAGTCCAGAGTCCATGAGCTCCCACTAGCTCGGGTCAGCTGTCTCTGTGGTCCCCACCCCCAATGATCTTGACCCGCCCCCCCCCCCCTTGCTTATATGATCCCTCCTCCCTCTCTTCAACTCTCTTCAGCTCTCCAGGAACTCGGCCCAGTGTTTGGCAGCCACATAACTGTTAACATGTACTCATTTCTTCTTTCTTTCTCTAATTTTTTAGACAGGGTCTGACTGTGTTTGGCATTTCTTTTTGTTGTTATTTGTTTTGTTTTGTTGTTGTTTTTTGAGACAGGGTTTCTCTGTGTATCCCTGGCTGTCCTGGAACTCACTTTGTAGACCAGGCTGGCCTTGAACTCATAGAGACCCACCTGCCTCTGCCTCCCAAGTGCTGGGATTAAAGGCATGCACCACCACTGCCCAGCTGTTTCGCATTTCTTATGTGCTAGTATCTTAATTGGAGCTTCCCCACTGAAAGAATGATTTTACTATAAATTCATAAGCCATGTCCGAATTACTCTTTTAAAGCATGCTGCTTGACTGGATAATGATATGAACTCAATTTTAATTTTCCCTTGGACAGTATGGGAGACAAAGTAAAAATCATAAGCTCCTAGGAATAAAGAATGATATTTTATTTTCCGTTCCATTAAATATATTCAAAAGGAACATCACATAATGTTGATAAGATAATAGGAAGAAGCAATATGTACCATTCTTGATTGTCTTTTCCTTTTTTCAGTTCTGGGGATTGAACCCTGGGCCTTGTACGTACTAAACATGTGCTCTGCCACTGCAGTTGTCCTTTCTTCCCTTCCTTCTTACAGGCAGCCCTGGAAGCACTAGACGAATTAGACTTGTTTGGTGTGAAAGGTGGGCCGCAGTCAGTTATCCATGTCCTGGCTGATGAAGTACAACACTGCCAGGTAAGGAAATAATGAACCACGTTACAGCAAATGGTGTTCTTGCCCAGAGTCAGACTTAACACAGGCTTTAGCTTAAAGAGAGCGGTCCACCATGTTGTTATTACCGTGTGATCAGAAATGTCTTTATCAAGCATTCTATGCTGAGATAAACCTGATACTAGCATGAGCTATAAGATAGATCATGTTTTGTCTTAGTCAATGTGCTATTGCTGTGAAAAAAACACCATGACTATAGCAACTCTTATATAAAAGCATTCAATTGGTGCTAGCTTACAGTTCAGAGGTTTAGTCCATTATCATCATGGAGGGGAGCATGGCAGCATGCAGGCAGACGTGGTGCTGGAAAAGGAGCTGAGAGTTCTACATCTGGATCTGCAGGCAAGAGGGAGAGAGATACAGACGCTGGCTTGGGCTCTGAAACCCCAAAATCTACCCCTAGTGGCACACTTCCTCCAACAGGACCATACCTCTTAATCCTTCTAATCCTTTCAAGTAGTACCACTCCCTGGTGACCAAGCATTCAAATATATAAGCCTCTGGGGGTCATTACTCTTCAAACCACCACATTCCACTCCCTGGCTACCATAGGCTTGTAGCCATAAGATAATGCAAAATTGCATTCAGTCCAATTTCAAAGACATCCATAGTCTATAATAGTCATAACACTGTTTAAAAGTCCAAAGTCCAAAATCCCTTCTGAGACTCATGGCAATCTCTTAATTGTAAAATCAAAATCAAAAAGCAGATCACATGCTTCCAACATACCATGGCACAGAATATATATTACATTACCATTCCAAAAGGGAAGAAAGGGACCATAGTTAGGAAATACTGGACCAAAGCTAGACCAAAACCCAGCTGGGCAAACTCCAAACTCTGCATCTCCATGTCTGATGTCAAAACACTCTAGATCTCCAACTCCTTTCAGCTTTGTTGACTGCAACACACTTCTCTCTCTTAGGCTGGTTCCATCACCGTTAGCAATTCTCAGCAGGTATCCCACGGCTCTGGCATCTCCAATATCTTGGGGTCTCCAAGGCAGTCAAGGCCTCACCTTCACAGCTTCATGCAATGGCCTCGGTGGCTTTTCTTAGCCATGGAGAGAGAGATTCTGCAGCCCCTTCCTTGTATCCTTGGCTTTTAAGCCAGAACCACGTGGTTGAAACTGCCAAGTTCTGCTGCTTGCTGGGGCCGGCACATTTCCTCCAATTACATCTGCATTAGCTTTCAGTTTTCTATGGTTTCCTTCACTGCTTACAGTTTTCTTTAATTCCTTTTCACAAGTTAGAAGCTTAGCTGGGCTGTGTCTTGCCCTGAGGCCACCACTTCCCTTTATTGTATTTAGCATCAGGCTTTCTTTTAGCTTTTTATCTCCCTTAGCACTAGACTTAGCATCATTACACTTCCTGGTACCCCTTTTCTCCCCAAACTATACATTTTGTATTTTTCTTTGCTCAGCTTGCTCCTTTTCATTATAGATCTGCATAAGAATGAACACTTATAACCATGCAACAGAGTCTACACTAGGCTGTTTTGAAATCTCCTCTGCCAACACCATTAATCCAAAATTCTTCAATTTAGCCTCTGGCAGACTTTTTCACAAGGGCAGAAAGCAGCCACATTCTTTGCCAAAATATCATAAGAACAGTCTCTAGGCCACTTACTAATATTCCTCTTCTCGGAATCCTCTTGAGCCAGGCTGTCATAATCTACCTTGCTCTCAGCATCACTGTTTTCCGTGTTCCTACTGGTGTGGCCCATTAAGCGCATCTTAAAGCTTTCAATGGCTTTACTAATCCAAAAGTCACAAAATCCACATTCCACCAATAACATGACCAGGCCTGTCACAGTAATACCCCAGTCCCTGGTACCAACTTCTGTCTTAGCCACTGTTCTATTGCTGTGAAGAGACGCCATGACTACAGCAACTCTTATAAAGGAAAACATTTGATCAGGGCTGGCTTACAGTTTCAGAAGTTAGTCCATTGTCATCATGGTGGGAAACATGGCAGCATGCAGGCAGACATGATGCTGGAGAAGGAGCTGAGAGTTCCACATCTGGATCTACAGGCAGTAGGAAGGAAAAAACACTGGGCTGGCTTGGGCATCTGAAACCTCAAACCAACATAATGGTCCTCTTGTCTCAGTTCAAATTAAAAATGAACCCACCATTATATCCAGTTACCCACTGCTAGTGTATCAGGGGCCTGTGGTTTCTTTTTCCACGAATCATTTTTTGTAAACATAAAAAGGAAACAAGATATGATCGCTTTTAAGTGTTCTGGATTGTGGTCCAAAACAGTCTCTGGTTCCTGGTTGTTTTCTGGTTAGATATTTGGACATTAGATTGTTACTGTGGTAAAAGTTTATCCTTAGTTTTGTTTATGATTGCTGCCTATATTGAAAGTTTCTTTTCTCTGGTATGTGACATCTTTCCTTTTCTTCAAACCTTGATTATATCCTGTGGTAGTCCAGTGAATATAAATCCAACTTCTACTTTTGAAAACACTTTCTGTGGATAAAATACATTATGGAAGAAGAAAGGGGACCTTTTGTGGATAGGAAGAAGACTAGCAGGAGTACTGTGAGGGCAGGGAAAAGTATGGGGTGAGAAAATGAGCAAAGGGTAATAATGTACATGTCTGAAAATATAAAGAAGCCCATTATTTTTCCTCACTTGCTGAAAATTAATTTGAAAGTATATTAGAGGCATAGTTGATCCTTCTCTACTCTTCCAAGAAGCTATACTTTGTTTTAGTTTTATTATTTTAATTTTTTAACTATTTTGTGTGTAGGGGGTGTTTGCCTGAGTGTATGTCTGTACCATATTCATGCCTGGTGCCCATGGGGGTCAGAAAAGGTTGTTGGAGTTGTGGATGATTGTGAGCTGCCCAGTCCTCTGGAAGAATAGCCAGTGCTCCTCTAACTACTGATCCATCTTTCTAGCCTCAGCTTTATTCTTCTCTCGATGCTAAGGACCCAACAGGATTGTGTCTATCCAATAGATGTTAGAGTCTTAATCTATGAGCAGCTGCTTTACAGTCAGAATGGGGAAACACTGAGAGCAGGATTAAGAAAAGGAATTCCATACCAAGCAAGCTACTCTTTTAGGATCTCACTATTTAATAAAATTTGGGTTATTCTTCGGAAAGCTTTTGTTCCATATAAGTCTTTTTGAATCAAAGCTCTCACTTTCACCTCTTTTTTTTTTTTTTAATTTTTCAAGACAGGGTTTCTCCGTGTAGTTTTGGTGCCTGCCCTGGAACTCGCTCAGTAGACCAGGCTGGCCTTGAACTCACAGAGGTCTGCCTGGCTCTGCCTCCTGAGTGCTGGGATTAAAGGTCTGCGTCAATGCCATCTGGCCTCAGTTTCGCCTCTTAACCAAGGTATTTAGTAATAAAGCATATTTTGCTACCTTTCTCTTAGTCGATCCTGAATTCACTACTGCCCCGGGCTTCAACATCCAAAGAAGTTGATGCTAGTCTGCTCTCAGTGATCTCTTTCCCAGCCTTTGCTGTAGAAGACAGCCATTTGGTGGAGCTCACCAAACAGGAAATCATCACCAAGCTTCAGGTATGTCCACATGTGCCTTTCTTCTCTGTAGGGCTGGGACTCTAAAGGAAGATGAGTGCTTTTAGGGCCTTTGAATATAACATATGCCAGGAATTTCAAGGAACCTTTCCTACTCGCAAGTCTCTTATGTTTTTCTGCAAAACTTTTACTGTTAGGAATGGTACATGCACTTTCGAAGACATTTGGCATGCTCTTATGAATTTAAACATATATGTAACATGATCCAACAAACATCCTTACTCCTCAGTATCTACCCTTAAAAATGATAGTTTACACTCACAAAAACTCACAAATGTCTATAGCAGCTTCTGCCATAATTGCAAAAATCTGGAAATAGCCTTCAACTGAGAAACAAATAAACAGATTTTACTATATCCCTATTCAATACTACGCAACAGTAAAAAGAACAAGTTAATAATCTCTGAGATAGTATGAATGACTCTTTTTGTTTGCTTTTCTTTATTCTTCTCTTCTACAGTACATCCTGACCACAGCCTCCCCTCCACCTCCTCCACCTCCCCTCTTCCCAAGATCCACTGCCCCTCTATTTCCCTTCAGAAAAGAGCAGACCCCTAAGTGATAACAACTGAACACAGCATTACAAGATGCAATAAGACTAGACACAAACCCTCATATCGAGGCTGGACGAGGCAACCCAGGAGGAGGAAAAGGGTCTGATTCTTAAGTGCATTTTGCTGAGAGGAAAGAACAGATTACAGAAGCTATGCATACTGTATGATTCCATCAATGTGACACTCTGAAAAAGGGAAAACCAAAATGAGGGGAGAATTGGTGATTAAAAGAAGTTGGAGGGAGAAATTATCTATAAAGATAGAGTTCTGGAGAACAATTGTCGTGGTAGACAAAGACTATGTTTGCCCAATCTCATGCAATTGTACCACAAAAAGTAAATTTAGAAGATCAACCAAGATGTGGTAAGAAAAGTGAAATTCAGATTAGAAAGTGACTCTCAAATTCATTACAGATAAATTGTATAACTGTACTGAAGAGGGTAAAGAAGAAAGGACCTAAATCTTATAAAAACCTAAACCCAAGACAAAACTAACCATATAGAAACACTGCACCTGTGGACTGGCCAGTTGTCCTTGTAAATAAAGTTTTATTAATCCAGCCATGTTTCTATACCATCTACTGCTCTTTCAAATAGCAGAGCTCAGTCGTTTTAATAGAGGCTACATGGCCTGAAAAAACCAGAAGCATTCCTTCTCGTCCCTGTCATGTGAAGGTGACAAACTCCTGCTCTAGTTGATAAAATTGTTCCTCAAAGGGGTTGAGCAAAAAGTGTGTAGTATGCACATTAGGTTTCCTCATTATTGAAGAAAGACATTGCAAATGGATCATGGGGAAAGCTAAAATGAACACTTATGCTGGGTAAAAGTAGGAGCTATTATTGTGAAATTGTGTGTGTGAATGTGTGCTTGCATGCGTGTGTGTGTGTGTGTGTGTGTGTGTGTGTGTGTGAGAGAGAGAGAGAGAGAGAGAGAGAGAGAGAGAGAGAGAGAGAGAGAGAGAGAGAGAGTTTAATATAGGGATGCATGCCTATCTTTGTGTTGAGGTTGTCTACATGTTGGTTTTTAAATACCATTTCCCAAAAAAGTGGGTCAGGAATCCCTGATAAATGGTTGATTTGAAGATCACATTAGGGAAGATACAAAAGATCTGAAGCATCTTAAGGCTTTAGAAGGTAAAGAGCTCAAAAAGGGTGGGGGATGGCTGGGCATAGTGGCATGCACCTTTAATCTCAGCACCTGAGAGGCAGGGACTGGCAATCCTCTGTGAGTTTAACGCCAGCCTGGTCTGCATATTGAGTTTCTGAACAGCCAAGGCTACATAGAGAAACTCTGTCTCAGACCCCCCACACACAAAAAAAGAAAATGGTTAATGTCAGATTTCTTTTTGCAATAAATGGTAATTAACACAGAGACCCACAACTAGACAATGTGCAGAGAGTGGAGCCTTTGGAGCATTCAGCCCTAAATGGGATGTCTCCATCAAAACCCTCAGCTCAAGGCTCAGGGATCTATGTGGAAGAGGAGACAGAAAGAATTTAGGAGCCAGAGCTGGTGAATGACTCAAAGGAAACAATGCCATCCAGACATGGTAGGACTGATACCACATGAACTCACAGAGACTGTGACAGCACACAAGACCTACCCAGGTTCAAACCAGATAAAATCCTAGAACAGAGAAGGGAAATGAACACAAAATACCATCCTTAACCAAGAAGCTATTTGCAATTGATATCAGCTAGGAAGGGAAAATCAGCTTTTTCTCCAGTGGAGTGACAGTGAGTATTATCAGTCACACTCCAGGGTAGGTCCCATATCCAAGACAACACACAATGGATGCCATGTTCTTTATTTTGGTACTTTATATCTTACTGCTTTTCTGTAGTTTGTTTTTCTTTCTTAGAGAAAGAGAGAACATGAGGTTGGGTGCATAGTGAGGAGGTGGGAAGGATCTGGGAGGAGTTGGCGGACAGGAAAGAAAATGATCAAAATACTGTATGGAAAAAAATTGTGCATCTGAAAAACTGCAAGAGCCAGAGGAACAGGGACTTTGCTGTGAGATTGTGTCTCCTAGGAATGTCAGAAGTTACAGCCATAAAGTCTCACCAGCATGTCTGCCTAAACATAGCTGAACAAGGACAATAATAATAGAGATTTTAACATGGAAGGGGCTTGTGAAAGAGGGAAAGCCTGCAAGGCCTCAACCCTATGCAAAGAATACAGGAGACTAAGAAATGCTGAGAGCGGGGGAAATGGTCTTCTCCAGGGAAGAGCACATCAGTACCAGATCGTCAGCCATGAGGACATGTATTGCTCAGACAGAGCAGGTTGAATTTATGTCTTTAAGAATATATATATATATATATATATATATATATATATATATATATATATATATACACACACACATATACATACATACAAACGTGCGTGTGTGTGTGTGTGTGTGTGTGTGTGTGTGTGTGTGTACACAAGCAATTAATTAAAAAGAGGCCATGAATTTGAAAGCGATCAAGAAAGGGTTTATGGGAGAGTTTTGGGGGAAAAGGTAATAATTGTATTATAATTTCAAAAAATGAAATAATTAAAAAATAAATTACCAAAAAGATAATTGTGAAATGTATTAACTATCAAAGTATTAAAAGCACATTAGTAAATCAAATAAACAGCAATTTTTACCCTTCTGGAATAATATTCTGGGGGAAAGACAAAATAAAATGTCAAGTAGAATATGTAGCAGATTAATTATTGATGAGTATCAGAAAAAAGGAAAGCAAGCAGAAGGCATGGGGAAATCGTTCTGGAATAGAGAGGCCTTTCTAACTTACACTGTGACTTATCCATAACTTAGCATTGTTTCCAAAATGAGAAAAGCTTTTAATAAGGAGTAAGTCATTGCCAAATAGCCTTAGTGTCTCTGCCACAACAGTCCTCTGCCAAACCACAGCCTAGACAGGAAATTGTTTCCTTTGGGCTCTCTCTCCTTTGCTGGCAAATACTGCCCTGGTGCCAAATACAGTACAGTGGGTCCTGGGAACCAGTGAGGGCATACATCAGAGCAAATATCACTTCGTGGAGCAGAGCAAGGTTGGAAATTCCATCAGCCAGTAAAGGAGTAGCATTCTAAGACCCAAATACTTCAATGTACTCGCCCCTTTTTTAACAGCCCGTAAGTCCAGCTCCCAGGACTGTTACCCAGGATAACTCAGAGAAAGATTTCTCAAGAGTGGGAATAGAAAGATTTCTTATCTATAATAATTCACACACCATCTGATGGTAACTTTCTCTTTTACTTCATCTTGAAAAATCCTCTCTGAAAATCTCTCTTGCTCCACATAGTTACATTCCGCATAGTTACATTCTCCACACAGCCACATTCCTCTTTGCACAGTTCCATCTCTTTTCTATACAGCTTCATTTTCCTTGTCTCCACACAGTTACAAATCTCCACACAGCCACAGCCATACGTCTCATCTACATAACCACATGTCTTCCTGCAAGCCATATATTTCTATATACAGTTACATCTCTTTTATATAGCTCCAATCTCTCTTCTATACACGTTTCTCCTTCTCTCTACCCTGCTTCATTCCTTCACACACCACTACATCATTCACTCACTCTTTACTCACTCACTCTCTCACTCCTTCACTCTCCTCTGTGAACACCTCTCCCCTACCTCTCTTTTCTGTATAGCTACACAAGCTCTCCTACAAAGCTACTCATCTTCTGCCTTCTACTTTCTCTGCACACATCTCCTGCCCTCTCAGCATGCGCGCACACACACACACGCAAGCACACACGCACTTTCACCTCTGCCCAGCTCTTTATACAGACATACATCTCAGGAGAATCTCTTTTGAAAATCTCTCTTGCTCTCCCTCCTGTCTAGCTACTCATCCTCTCTCTCAGCTCCCTCCGCACACCCACACACACACTCATACTCTCTCACTCCTCCTTGTCCTTCTCACAGCCAAACTCTGGAAATTGTATGTTACATTTTCAGGGTCCGACCCATTCTCATAACATATAAGTCATTCAGTGAGTAACTCTTGGCCAGGCACGTAGCTCTTCACAGACAGAGAATGACATTGAAATTCAGGACTTAATAACAGTTAGTTGGCTGAACCTTGAGTGATTGGGGTATGTGCAGAAAGAGAATTACTGCAGGGGGTTATGTCTACCAGAGTTGCTTTAGTTCTGACCTTGATCTAGCAGTAAACACCTGAAACTTAAGTTTGTGTATTCTCTGCAGGGGCAGCTAGTCTGTTTTGATTTTGTTCTGAAATCTAAAATTAGCTGTCTTTGTGACTGAGAATACTGTTACTTTTCTGTGTCAATTATGAAAAATATTCTAGTATTATTTCTAATAATTAGAATTATACAGATTAAACATAAATCATCTTCCTAACCATCCACAGCTATATGTGTGCCTAAAGATGGAATACACACTACCAATGGGCTGTGGAAAGAACCCCACAGCTCTTCTTTTTAGGGAGGTAAGTGGTGGCACATGAGAAAGTTACAGCCAGAAAACAACCTGTTTCCATAGCCAGTGACCCCACGGACTTTGCGTAGTGGTACCCCCCAACAGAGGATTGTCTGGTGTGTCGACCTGTTAAATACTGGTTGTCACCTACTGACTACTCCCACGGCCCTCAGCACCCTTTCTGACTTTTGTCCCTTTGTTCATTTAGATAGCTGAAAATATTCAGGTCTTCGCATTTGTCCACATCATTATAGACTGCAGCTTCTCAAACTATATGTTGTGTAACTGAGTGCTAAGGTTGCAGAGAATCTGGCAATAATTTAAGGTCCTGAATGTGTAGTGCGCACAAGTTACATAAACATCAACTGTGTAACGAGCCTGGGGTGTTGGTGGCAGCACTTACCTTTGTATCATTGTGAGACTTCACTGCAGCTTGTTTCTGAACACACACGAGCACTCTGTGATGAGCATGCCTCATGCCACACAGTGCCAACAAATGTTGCCAAAAGCACCTCAACTCAAATCCACAACTGTCGTCATGTTATAAATTGCAGTGTGTTTACTATACCACAAAGTTTTCTGCTGTCATAGAAACATGATGATTTAATTATAGAAATGAAAGACTTAATATTTTCCCACTATCATCCCTCAGTATGTTTCAAATGAGTATGTCTTTGGATTGTATTGTGTTAAAACATTTGGTTTTTAAATTTTCTGTTTGAATTACTGACAAGTTTCAGAAAAAAATGTTAAATGAGTTTAGTTTTAGATTAGGGCAGAATTTACAACAACATCTGAAATGTTCTTAAATATAATTATGCTATTTTGTACTATGTATTTATGCAAAGTCACTGTCTTAGTATTGATGATAAAATCAAAGTATCAATCATCTCTGAAAAACATTGATGTTCTACATCCCATAGCATCAAATATTCAGATAAGGTTTTGTAGCTAGAGTTTTCCTGCCTGACCCACAGTCAGGACAAATCTCTCTCACCCGCCAGTCCCACAGCCGCTCAAACCCGACCAAGTAAACACAGAGACTTATATTGCTTACAAACTGTATGGCCGTGGCAGGCTTCTTGCTAACTGTTCTTACAGCTTAAATTAATCCATTTCTATAAATCTATACCTTGCCACGTGGCTCGTGGCTTACCGGCATCTTCACATGCTGTTTCTCATCATGGTGGCTGGCAGTGTCTCTCTCTCTCAGCCTTCCACTTCCCAGCTTTATTCTCCTCCTTGTCCCGCCTACACTTCCTGCCTAGCCAATGGCCAATCAGTGTTTTATTTATTGACTAATCAGCAACACATTTGCCATACAGAACATCCCACAGCAAGGTTTCATTGTTTAAATAAAAACAAACAGGAACATTTATTTGATCAGTATGCAGTCTTGTCATTTTTAATAAACAGTTAAATGTAAAATAAAATTCATAATAATTTTTATCATTAAACATTAAACAAAAAGGATATTTAATTTCATGAGGCCACAGAAACCAACCAGAAAGGATTCCTAATGCACAGAGTAAGAACTATTTGAACAAAAAAGTAATTATCATAGCATTGTCCTATAACTCAAAGAAAAAATGAAGTTATCTACGAGTCTAATATAGATAACAATAAATATAGTTACAAGAGGGAAAGTTATGATGAAGAATTCTAGGAGATACTAATTAAGAAAATGATTAAGTTTAATATCACCAGTAATAGGACTAGTGCCCCCCTCAAACAGTATAATGAGAAGGACACATCACCATTGTGATGCTCTTCTCAATAATATGTACCTTCAGTCTCATGTAAAAACCAGACAAAACTAATTTGAAAGACAATTTAACAACTAACTGATGAACACTTTCCAAAGTGTGAAGTTGGGTAAAGCAAGGAAAGAATGTGGAACTGTCATAGATTAGGGAAGATGAGGGAGCTGTGACAACTAAATATAACATGGAATTCTTTTTTGAATGTATATGTGTATATGTGTTCATGTATGTGTGTACTGCAGAGGCCAGAAGTTGGTGCCAGTCTCTCCCTCAATAGCCTAATTTTTGAGATAGTCTCTCACTGAACCTGGAACTCACTGATTGAGCTAGCCTGGCCAGTGAGCCCCAAGAACCCTCCTATTCCTGTCTTTCCAACACTGCGGTTACAGGAACTGCCACCACGTCTAGCTTTTTCCCTGGGTGCTGGAGATCACAGCTTGGGTCCTTATGATTGCACAGGAAACACTTTACCTACTGAGCCATCCTGCGAGTCCTGTAGTGTGGGATTTTGAACTGGATCCTGGAATAGACTGAAAAGGACAGTGATGGAAAGAAAACCCAGTGTAATATAAATAGGTTTTATAATTCAATTAGTATTAGTATATCAAAATTAGCTTTTTACTTCTGATGTGTGTGTGTTCTGTAGTTACATAAGTTAATATAAGGAGATGAGATTTGATAAGTGAGACTATGTAGTGTTTATAAGTTTTGTAAGTCTAAAATAATCTCAAAAAATTTTACATATATTTTTAAAAAAATAAGCTGTGGTCTCTTAGGAGCTGTGTGTACTATGGGAAGGACTGCACAGATTAGTAATTAGCTTGTAGTACACTTGGCATGCTGCTTTGGGGAAGAACCGATAACATACTTCTTGCTTGAAAGGACATTGCTGCTGCTGCTGCTGCTGAGCTGTTTTTGAGTACTGTGTCTGTGTTGGTAAGAGATTGATACATGGAGGTGTTTGAGGATATGTTTCTGCTTATAGAATCATACAGATGTACAAGCTTCAGGGCCTTTTTCTCTGTGTCCCCAGGGTCGCTATGGTTGCTGTCGTTTTCTACGAGATGGATATAAAACTCCTAAAGAGGTAGGTTGCTTTTCACCACAGGGAAATAGGACAGAATTGTCTCTGTTCTTTGTAGACTCATTCAGAGACAACAGTTACCTCACTGATAGAATTTTTGCAGATCATTAAAAGAAATAATAAGTGACGTTTGTTATATTTGTTCAGTTTTGCTGCCAAGTTCTGACATTGGTGGTAGATAAACTATCAATAAACTATCAAAGAGTAAATCTAATAAAGGAAATACAGTCTCATCTTTTCTTTCAGTTGGTTAGTTTAAGGAAGGAACTACTGATGGATGCTAAAGTCTGTGGACAGAAGTTTTAAAATACAAACAGTCTTTGCATAATCTCCAAATGTGCCCCCCAATATTTAATCAGTACAAAAGGAAAGGCACTTCCCAGCAGTACATCTTTCTGACTGCCTGTCATAGTCCATTTTCTGTTGTCAGTGACACAGTACCACAGACTGAGTTGTAAAATGGCCTCACAGTTCTGTAGGTACAAAATCAAGAGGTCCACATCTGGTGATGTCCTTCTTGCTGACAGAGTCCCAAGGCGTGGTATAAGGTAACTCATGGCAAGAGACAGGGAACACTATGTGCCTCAGTCTCTTCTGGTCTCTTTCCTTTCGACAAAGCCAGAGATTCAGTCTCTGCCCTGACGGCCTTATTAAATCCTGATCTGTCCTTCAGGCTCCACCTCTATGGACTGAGGTTTGATTACACTTCTACCCTCGAATACCTCACAAAATGCATGAATTTCAGCACGTCAAGCCTTGAGAACACCAAACCTAAACTGTAGCAGCCCCTTCCAAGATTTGTAGTTTGTATTTGGTTAGTTATCAACAGAACTTGTTCGTGAAAATTTAAGTTCCTTTTGTTCTACTAGTCAAAAGTTCTCCTTGAATAGATATAGATATGCTATATAGATATATGGATATGGCGTTGGGTGAGCTTTTCAAGAACTGTTATGAGTGTTTGCCTAGCATGCTCAAGGCCCTGAGTTCCAATCCCAGCCCCATACACAAGAGAGGCACTATGTTCTTTTAAGTTAAGTATAAAACCTTGTGGTCTACTTCCTCACTTCTGCTTTCTTCCTCAGCCCTGAATTTGACCTTTGCCCTTTCTTGAATTTCTCCCTCCTTTGATTCCCACACTACCACACTCCGAACATAAGTTCCGAAAAGAACAGTCCTGTACTCTTCTCCCAATTCTTACTCGCCGTGACTTCTCTAGCATTTCATTGACTCACTCCTACGTTTCCTTGACTTTTTCCCTATGTTGATTTCCACAGTATTCCACTCATGATTCTTGTCTGTCTTTGGCTCACCTCATTCTGAAGACTTACCAGGATTCCATTCTTGTGCAGGTCACTCATTTTATGTAGTACTTTCCCACAAAACCCATCTGTGACTAGTGTTACTTCTCTCAGGTTGATTACAAACGAATCCTGCACTGGTAGTTAATATTGTCAACTTGACAGGATCAAGGAGACAAGCCTCTGGGTATGCCTGTGAGGGTATTATTAGGTTAATTGAAGTAGGAAGATCTGTCCTAAAAGTGAGTGGCAGTATTGGGTTTGGGGCCTGGGCGACATGGATAGAAACAGCTAACTGCATTCCAGCATCTATTGCTCTCTTCTTGACTGTCGAAGCAGTTGTGGTCAGCTGCTTAAGCTTCTGCCACCTTGTCTGTCCTTCTATGATGGCTTGCACCCTTGAACTGTGAGCCAAAGTAAACTCTTGCTTCATTTAAGTTGATTTTGTCAGATTATCATGGCACCAAGAAAAGTAACACATTTTCATATATCTCCTGTGATGCCTTATTATCCCAAGACCAGTCGTTGGAGTTTCTTCATAGAGCACTTGCTAAGAGAGGGGAGTATAAATATGTACTTACTGCCTTCTCTGATGCCATCTTTGAAACAAATAGTCTGTAGTAAAACTCCTGTTGTAATACCTCTAAACTAAGAATATACATCCAGTCTCTGAGTGACAGGACAGACTTTGTCTGTTATATTTTTGTCTAGGATCCCAATCGTCTGTACTATGAACCAGCTGAGCTGAAGCTATTTGAAAACATTGAGTGCGAATGGCCATTGTTCTGGACATACTTTATTCTTGATGGGATCTTCAGTGGAAACATAGAACAGGTAATGACCTGGGAGAAGAGCTCTCAGCAAGCTGCTTTTGTTGTGTCTTCCTCTTTGAGTTAATGGCTATATCTGTTTTGATTGCCCAAATGGGAGTCTTCCTACTAGGGAAGAGACCAGAGTTGTCTCCTAGAGACTCGTAGCTGATAATAGTGAATTAAGAATTGGGAAACTCTACCTGGGTAGTGGTGGTGCACGCCTTTAATCCCAGCACTCAGGAGGCAGAGACAAGGTGGGTCTCTGTGAGTTCGAGGCCAGCCTGGGCTACAGAGTGAGTTCCAGGAAAGGCGCCAAAGCTACACAGAGAAACCCTGTCTCGAAAAACCAAAAAAAGAATGGGGAAACTCAGATTGTTTTCTTTTTTCTTCAATCCTGACCATCCAAGTGTTGTCATTGACTTCTTCAGTTTCAGTGTCTCTGTAGGTGAGATTTTTTTCTTTTCATTAAGGAAGATTATCAAGTAAGGATGTTGAAATATTAATTACCTCAGTTTCATCATTACATACTGTATACATGAGTTGAAGTTTCACACTGTACCCCACAAATTTATATACTAAAAGTAATTTTTACTGTAGTGGCACATGTTTGTAATCCCAGAACTCAGAGGCTAGAGCAGGCAGATCATGAGTTTGAGGCCAGTCTAGGTTACAGAACAGGACCATCTCAAATAATATTTTTTAAAAGGTATCCTTAGGTGATAGAGAGGGGGTTCCGTGGTTAACAGCACTTGTTGCTTGTCCAGAGGATGTGGGCTCAATACCCAGCACCCACATGGTCGCTCATAAACATCTGTAACTCCAGTTCCAGGGGATCCAAACCTTCCTTCTAACCCCTATGAGTAGCAGATACCCAAGTTGTTCACATACATATATGCAGGTGAAATACTCATAATACATTAAATAAAAAATGAATCTTTCAAAAATATAGTCCCAAATTTCTTTGAGAGTTGACAATAAATATATACTATAAATTCAAAGTTCAGTTAGTTCCACTATAATGAGACAACATCCTTTAAAAATATCACCATGAAAGGCATGTTCAAAAAATTAAAAACTACAAAATGGAAAAATGGGGTGAGGAGCACAGTACTAAAAATATTTGCATGGCTTAGTATAGTGCTGCACACCTTTAATCTGAGAACTGGGGAGAAAGAGGCAGGAGGATTTCTGTGAGTTTGAGGGTAGCCTGCTCTACATAGAGTTCTAGGCCAGCTGAGACTCTATAGCAAGACCCTATCTCAATAATAAGTAAGTGCGTGTTTGTACATAACAAAATGATAGGAACCTAGTGAAAAAAACCAGTGGTGCAGTTTCCTACCTGCTAAATGGTCAAATATGTAAGTACTACAATAGGTCTGATAGGTAAACCTTGAAAAGGGCCTGGATTTTGTTGTAGAGGTGTTTGACCTTCTTCTTGCCAATTCACCTGGCTGGTACCTCTGCCTGCTAGCCTGTATGTAAGAGGAAGAAAACAAAAGAGAAATCAGATAAATGATAGAAATTGGAGAATAAAACTACGAAATAGAGAGGAAACATTAAAATGGGCTGAGAGGAATGGGGGCAGTTAAAGAGAGAGGAAGGCACACAGTTTGCAACCAGGGCATCTGTCAGGGAGCTTCTAAGTTATGATGTGCTTAAAGAAAGGTGTTATACAGTTGGATGGAACACTACAACAACAGGTGTGGACTGGTGTGGTTCCTTGGCCTTGTTAGGTATGTGCATGTCTGTGCAGTTTTAGACAGCTTAGTTCAACACAGTTAGGTTCTCAGGAAGAAATTGCACATAAGCAAACATGAAATTCATGTTATACTCTGTAGAGGGCAAAAAGGTCCTTGTGCACACAGATAAGCACTGGAGAAGCCAGGAAAAGTTAAACACACAGCGGATCTCTCCAAAGTTGGGAGATATTTGGCTCTTCTCCCAGAATTCTGGGGGAAATACAGTTTACAACCTGATAATCGTTTGCTACCTGTTGAGGCAGGCTCTGCCCAGGTCACCCAGAATATTATGTTTATCCCAGACCCTTTCCCATAATACCCTGAGCATTATATCTAAGCCATAAATCTCATCCAAGTGAGAGATGTCACTTGAACTTTACAACAGCCTAAATGACTTCTGTGTTTTCTTAGGGCCAGGCATTATATTTATCTGAGTCATTCTCCTTAAACCCGTATCTCGAGCATTGTTTCTAAGTCAACAAGAACCCATCTTACAGATGAAGCTGTGTGTACTTTGTAAAGGGCTTCAATGTAGATATGTCTTAGGCTTTGTTATACTCATTGGGCCGAGTTCATTGTTATCTGAATAGTTGTTTCCAACATTGTGCTAAAGTAAAACGGTCTGGGTCAACTCTAGATGTCCCGGCCCAGCATAAGTTACCAAAATCCAGCTGATCTGAGTTTCATTCTTATCTCACCCTGATCATTTTCCCTACATGCTGTAAAGCCTGCAGGTAACCCTCCAGAATACTCAAATTGTACCCTAATCTATTAAACACATTTGAACAAATTTGTGATTTTACCAGTATCCTAATATTATACCAGGAAGCAGCTAGGATGAAGCTATTGTGTTAAAGAACTATAAATTATGGTTTTGTTGTGTTTTTATTTTACTTCTTATGAGCCTAAGGCTTTGTATATGCTAGGCCCACTGAGCTGCATCCTGACTCATGCCCTTTTTATAGTTTATGAATTACTATGTTTCGTCAAATTGTTAATAACATAAACCTGACCATAATAGCAGCCAAATCTAGAGAGGAGAGATGGCAAGGGTAATGAGAAGATGTATATGAGAAAAGTACAATGATAGACATGTACAAAAATGTCATAAAAATCCATTTTATATGCTAACGAAAGGCAATTAATAAAAATGTAGTTTTAAAAGCCTAGTCAGGGGGCTGGAGAGATTTCTCAGTGGTCAAAAACATTTGCTACTTTTGCAGAAGACCAAAGTTCAGATCTCAGCACCCATATCAGACAGCCCCCAACCACATGTAACTCCAGTTCCAGGGGTGCTAGGCCCTCTTCTGACCTCTGCAGGCACGCGCGCGCGCACACACACACACACACACACACACACACACACACACACACACACACACACAGGGAGAGAGGTGGGTGTATACACACATAAATAAAAGTAAAACTAAAAAATAAATAAAATCCAAGTCAAGGGCTAGAGAGATGGCTCAGTGATGAAGAGCACATAATGCTCTTCCAGAAGACCCAAGTTTGGTTCTCTACACCCTGGTCATGTGGCTCACAACCACTTATAGCAGTTATAACTCCAACTTCAGACGATCTGACACATCTGGCTTCCGAGGGTGCCAGCACACATGATCATATGCCCCCACACAGACACATATGCATACATATAATTTTTAAAATAAAACATTTTTGACAGGCATAGTGGCACATGCCTTTAATCCCAGCACTTGGGAGGCGGAAGCAGATGATCTCTGTGAGCTTGAGCCCAGCCTGGTTAACATAGTGAGTTCCAGGGCAGCCAGAGCTACCTAGTGAGACCCTGTTATGAAAAAAAAATCATTTTTCAAATATATATTTTAATTGAAATAGAATTGCATCATTTTTCCCTTCCTTTCCTCCCTCCAGACCCTCCCAGCTTCCTTATCTCAAACCTCACCCCTCACACACTCTCAAGTTGATAGCCTCTTAAAAAATAAATGCTACAAAAAGAAAAAGCCAGGTCAAGAAGGTATACTTAAGGTAATACATAGCAGATCACTTAGGCCCTTGGAGGCAGACTGAATCAGACTAAACTATACTAAACCAGGTATGTGCTTAGTAAACTAAGTGATTTGAACCTAACCTCCATGTTAAAGGACTTCAATTACACATCCCTACTAGGATGACAACTAAAATTAAATGCATTAAAGTATATAAAAAGTTGTGTGATATTTGACCTATAACAAACATGTAATAAGTACCTGCCTTAGGGTTTCTACTGCTGTGACAAAACAACATGACCAAAAGGCAACTTGGGGAGAAAAGGGTTTAGTTGACTTACTTATCCTGAATCACCTCCATTGAGGGAAGCCAAGGCAGGAACTCAAACAGGGCAGGCAGGAGCTGGTGCAGAGACCATGGAGGCATGCTGCTTACTGGCTTGCTCCATGTGGATTGCCCATGGTTGGCTCCACCCACAATGGGCTGGGCTTTTCCCTATCAATCACTAATTAAGAAAATGCCCTACACGCTTACCTGCAGTCGGTTCTTATGGAGGCATTTTCTCAATTGAGGTTCCCTCCTCTCAGCTAGTTCTAGTTTGTGTCAAATTGACACAGTACCATCCCCCTTTCCTCTTCCTTTCCCTTGGTTAAATAAGCTCCTTTGAAGAAGTGCTTTCTTTGGCTGTGTCCTTCTGCTATGTTCCCACAGAAAGTCTCTAAAATTTTGGTTTTCAACTTTTCTTTTTCCTGCAGGTTCAAGAATATAGAGAGGCTCTTGATGCAGTCCTCATCAAGGGCAAAAATGGAATCCCACTTCTTCCAGAGCTGTACAGTGTTCCTCCTGACAGGGTGAGTTGGATCGTGTAGGGCCATTGACAGGAGAGGAACCACATTTCTGTGATACTGAGTCAGTAGTTATGTGAGTCAAATAGTTTTGTGACTTTGTATCTTGTGATGGTAATATTCTAAAACTTTGGTTTTTGGATTAGGATTTTATTCCTCCTGAAATAAGTTAAAGCAGTCTCAGTTATGGTACTATGGTACAATGAAATATGAATGAAAGCAAATCTCAATTCTGAGAATGATCTACAGATCAGTAGGTGGAACCAGAGTGATATCCTGTGCCAGCTCTGAGAACTTGGCATCCTCTGCAGCCAGTAATCTAGGATTGCTGGAGTAGATCAGGCTTGGAACAATGAAGCAGGCGTTGTCTTTGTTTGCCATTGTGAAGGAGAATTAGACATGATAGAGATACAGTTTTACCTTCTGGTGGGGATTTGGAGAAGTTCCTAGTGGCATGAGCAGTGTCACCTGAGAATTAATTAGGAATAGGTTTTATCCACCACGACACACTTATTCAGTCTACGTTTTCATAAGGTCTTGGGTGATTTGGTCACACACTACAGCTTGAGCACTGCCCTATTTCGCTTTTCAATCCATTGTCTAGAAACTCTGAATCATAATCCAGACTGTCTTTTATCATCTAGTACCTTAAGCTTTCTAATATTGCCTCTCATTTGACCTCTTATCTCTTCATTTAGGTTGATGAAGAGTATCAAAATCCTCACACTGTGGATCGAGTCCCTATGGGAAAATTGCCTCACATGTGGGGTCAGTCTCTATACATTTTAGGAAGCTTGATGGCAGAGGTAAGGGAAGACTTCAAAGCTATCCCGCCTTTTAGCTCATTTATTTATTTGCCTTGGCCACCGTAATGATCAGATTTGCAGTGAACTCACTAAATTCAAAGGATGTCTTCCTTTTGGACTTTGACTTAATTATAGCTTTGCCTCCGGGTCTTCAACATGGGGATTGTGGCCAGTGCTTGACAGAAATCTCTTGCTCCCTGCCAACCATGTCCGCCCACTACCCACAGTTCCCTATTTTGGCATTGTACTTGGTGCTGTTCAAGAGTCAAGCTGTGGATCTTTCACTTTCAAAACTCCCCTCGGTGCCTCCCTGGTAACTGATGAACGCAGCTATGTTTAGTGATTATTGGTGACGGATTAAACGCCAACCTTTCTAAGCAACATAAGTTTTCATTCCTTAACTGAAGTAACTGATCACATTGAACACTTTGACTAATGCTTGGTAATAACTGTGTGGTCTTTCTGTTTGCTTTGTTAAGATTTCTTTTTTTTTTTTTTTAACTTCTTGGTAAGGAGCTCTCTAAATGTTCTTTATACCAAATTCTATTAAGACGGCTCTTAATGAGGCACAATTTTGTATCCAGCTTTTTTGGGGGGTGGTTATTTTGAGCCTATATAGAAGGATATTTCTTCTAAAAAGTTTTCTAGTACTTCCTGAAAAACCTATTTCCCACACTGTAGGGTTTTTTTTTTTTTTTTTTAAAGACAAGGTCTTGCTATGTAGCAGTAGCTGGGCTTGAACTTTCCACATAGACCAAGCTGGCCTTGAACTTGCAGTGATCCTTCTGTGTTTGTTTCCTGAGTTCTGGGATTATGGGTGTGTGCCATCACACCCAGCATGGTTGTTTTGATATGATAGACCCAGGTTCCTGGAAAACCTGGTTTGGAACTTAGCTGGCATTTCTGAGTAAGATTTTCCCGTTTACATGGTCCTTTATTTTCTGCAGCTGTAGTCTTGGTTTTGTTTTCTGTGGCTGTGGTTGTTTGATAATCTATAATTGACGTGAGCTTGGAGCTAGCACTAATGAATATAATGCTTTAAAACAATCCTTGCCCAGCAGCTTTCTTACCCAACAATAAATTAGATTGGACAAAACCAGGAAGGAATCAGTATTATTAAAGAAAAAAGTGGGTGAGTTCATCTTATTTCACAACATATGGAAACTAAGTAAAAAGATTTCTGCTACTCAAAAAGCACAGCAAACACATGGGCAAATAAGCAAACAATGTTTATTACCAGTTTTTAGTTTTACGTATTCTGAGAATTTCATGCATGAGTGTTGTATTTGTATTATTTTCACCTCTTGCTCCCTTCCACACACAGCCTGCCTGGTCCGTGTAGTGTTGTTTGTGCGTGTATTTATTTAGGACTGACCACTTGGGCTTGGGTAACCTGTCAGGGTCTCATTCCTGGAGAAGACTGATTCTTCCTGTCTCAGCAGCCATTGCTTGGCTGTAGCTCTTCGTCTAGGTCTTCTGAGATTTTCCCCATTCATGTTGGTATGTCTACTGATAGTATCATCGTGCTGGTCTTGTATAGGTGACCATATTTTTAAAAATTTCATGGGTGAAGCTTCCCTGTCTATATAGAAAGTACAATACATCACAGCAGATGTTCTGGTTCTCTGGCTCTTAAAATCTTTCCACTCGCTCTTCTATTATGTCCCCTGAGCCTTAGGTGTAGGGGTATTATAGATGTGTCGATAGGGGTTAGGTACCTCCAAGCCATTGTTCTCTGCATTTTAACCACTTGTGGGGTTCTTTATTGGTCTCTGCTGCAAAAAGAAGCTTTTTTGACGAGGGGTGAGAGCTACACATACCTGCGAGTATAAGGATGGGTATTTAGAATTCAGTTAGAAATTATACTGGTTCAGGAAAGTGGTAGTAATAGGTTGTTCTCTAAGTTTTATGACCTTAACAGCCAAGGGTAATTGGCTAGGTTTCCAGTATCAGGCATGCATTCCTTCATATTGAGCTAGCCTTAAGTCCAATTAGACATCTATTGTTTGCCTCCATGAGATAAGTAGCATTATTGGACCCTTGGGCTATCTCGCCATGCTGGTCATTGTGGTTCATAGGTTTTACAGCTGGTCAGGACTATTGGTTGCTTTTCTCCCTTGGTAGCTTGCATAGCACTTCTGGTCATTTAGAGATCTAATCATCAGGTAGGAAGCTTTCAGGTCAGTTCCAGCTCAGTTCCTTCAAGTTTTGTGTCTTAATATATGGTGTATTCAGCTATTGGGTCTTACCTTCAAGTTCTATGAGGCAACTAAGGGAGATGACAGTAGTTTACATATACATATATACATATATACACATACATACATACACATGTATGTGTATATCCATATATATGTATATATATGTATATATATGTATATATGTAATATATATGTGCTCTCTCACACACATACACTATATGTATGTTTAAGTAAACAAAAAATGTTTCCCTGTGGCTTTTTAAACATCCTTAGTATTATTTATCCCTTTGCCATTCTTCTCCCTTTGTATTGACCTCCTTTCCCCTTTCCATTTAACTTCTGAGCCATCTCTCCATAGCCATCTCTCCATAGCCATCTCTCCTAGCTTTATTGTTGAGGCTTAGTAATTTTGTTTTTGTGTGTTTTCTTCAGGGATTTTTAGCTCCTGGAGAAATTGATCCCCTGAATCGTAGGTTTTCTACTGTGCCAAAGCCAGATGTGGTGGTTCAAGGTATGTATTACTCCCAGCAATAGAAATGTTATATTAAAGGCCTGATTAGGGGAAGAGATTTGGGGGCTTTGTGTTAGGCTTTAAAAGTTCATAATAAATTTGGTTCAGTTTTGTTTCAAAATTACTGTTAATAATAAACAAATCAATGAAAGATGATCTCAGAGGATTATAAAATACTATTTGATATACCTTATTTCTGGAAACTCTTTTCTTTAAAATTTCATGACATTTTATTTCCCTGGTTACTGTTACTTTCTTTTAAACCACATTTCTATGTTTTTCCTGCTAGTATTCCTTTATTTTCATAGCCTCCTATGCATTTATATTTTCCCTGCATTAGGCTTTTAGGCTGCATCTCTCATAATACATGTGCTTCTGACCATTATCTCACTAGGGAGTATGTCTAAAATTTTCCCCCCAAGAATCAACTTAAATGTGAGAGTATCTACATTATGTAAAACACTGAGCTGAATACACTAAACATTATTAATGTTTAGAGTACATATATGTGGTAGTATGTAACTGAAGTTTTTCTGTGTCTCACCCAGTCCACAGCCACTCAGACCCAAGTAAACACACAGAGGCTTATATTAATTAAAACTGCTTGGCCATTAGCTACTGACTAGCTCTTACACTTAAACTCAGCCCATTATTGTTAATCTATATGTCGCCACGTGTTCCGTGGCTTTACCTGTGTGCCGTTACATGCTGCTCCTTGGACAGTGGGCTATACTATACTATACTTCCTGCCTGGCTACTGGCCAATCAGAGCAACACATATTCACAGCATACAGAATGACATCCCACAGCAGTAGTACAAGTGTTTAATCTCAGCACTTGGGAGCCAGAGGCAAGCAGATCACTGTAAGTTCAACACTAGCTTTTTCCATATCAGGAGTTCCTGGACAGCCAAGGATACATACTCAAACTGTCTTATTTAAGGTTTCCATTGCTGTGAAGAGACACCATGACCATGACAACCCTTGTAAAGGAAAACATTTAATTGAATTACACTTCAGAGGTTTCGTCCATTATCATGGCAGGAGCATGGCAGCACATGGGCAGACATGGTGCTGGGGAGGTAGCTGTGAGTTCTACATCTGGATCCGCAGGCAGCAGGAAAAGAGAGTGAGCTACTGGGTCTGGATTGAGCTTCTGAAACCTTAAAGCCCACCACCAGTGACACACTTCCTCCAACAAGGTCACACCTAGTCCAACAAGTCCACACATCCTAATCCTTTCAAATAATGCCATGCCCTGTGAGCCTGTGGGGCCATTTTGATTCAAACTACCACAGAGACCCTGTCTCAAAGAAAAAAATCCTAGTCTCAATATCTATAAATGATCTTTATATGATGAACTCAAAGACGGTCTCTTTTGTCATCATCCCATCCTTTTACCTCTCCCAGAAAGTGTTGATATTTTTGCCTTCCTTGTTTCTTTCAATAATATTATCATTGTCCTTGTTTTTGAGAGTAGACATCTTGATGTGAATTTTCACTCTCCAACATCACTCTTCAATATGTTGATTGTTAAGTCCTGCCCTAAAACTTGTTTAAGATATTCCTTCCTATTCATTTGACTTTCAGGTTGATTCTGTATGGAAAATCATCCTGTTTTCTAAAGCCTCTTGTACTTGATACTCTGTGTGATCATGTAGGTGGTCTTTGCTTCTCAGTGTCTCTAGCAAATGTTTTATAAAGACCATTACTCTTCATCCCCCATGAGAAGGTATGTTTTCCTCTGAGGTTTAAACCTTCTTGCTGTGTTGATATTCTGTTTGTTCTAATTCATAAAATATGAATTTGAGGCTCAACTCATAGATTTCTTCATCCTCCTCAAATTTTGTCATCAAACTAGATTTCAGCATTGGTGTGGATGCCATCCACTATTTTTAGCCTTAAAATTTTTGGATACCCATGACTAAAGTACCCTTTCTCTGTACCTCTATGTTAGGTACCTGTCTTAGTTACTTTTCTATTGCTGTGACAAAACACCATGACCAAGGCAGCTTAAAAAGAAAGCATTTAATTTTGGGCTTGCCCTTCCAGAAGGTTTGATTCCATGAGCATCATGGTGGGAAGCATGGCAGCAAGCAGGCAGGCATGAAGCTGGAGTAGTAGCTGAGGTCTAACATCCTTATCAGCATTTAGATGGCAGAAAGAGAGAGAACTAACTGGGAATGGCATGGGCTTTCACTATTTCCATTGAGACATTTCCTCCAAAAAGGCCATACCTCTTAATCCTTCCCAACTATTTTCACTAATAGGGACTAAGTATTTAAAAAAAGGCCTGTTGGGGCGTTTCTCGTTCTGACCACCACACACACCAAGGGTCAAACTTTTGGACCTTATAGGTGTATAATTCTTGTGTTCTGCTAACTATATCTCAGCTTTCCTTTTCTTCCTTTTATACTTGTCTCTAATTTCTCCTAGTCTGCTCTTTTCTACCTAAAGATCATCTAAATATTTTGATCATCTAAATATTCCAGTCATAACTGTCTCATACTTTTGCTGTATCCACCAGAGTATTATAGTTCTAGATCAGTCATATAGTCTGCACTTTCTGATCCTATACCTAATAAAAGATATTATGGGAAAAAAGCACATGATGAGCAGAGTGGTGGCACTGGGCATCCACGGTCTCCAGTTCAACTTCCTGTTTTGTTCTTATCATTAGTCAGCATTTTCTTTATTCACAGCCAGTGTAACAAATACTCTATTTTTTTCAGCTGTGCCCTTTGTTTTCAACCTAATATTTGGACTTCTACTTCATGCCTGATCATCTTAATAGTCTGATGTTTTTTCAGTTTCCCAACACTCCCCACCCCCAGCATTCTTACCCATACTTGCTTTCTTTTCTTTAGTCTCAGAAAAAAAGTGTTCTCCTATTCAAGACAAATTCCCCTATTGTTTCTTGATCCTATAGTCCTCTTTACAAACAGTCTTTCTTGAAATATTAAGACGTCCCCACTCCAGTTTCTTTATTATGTTCATCTCCATCTGGCTGTCATATGTGGCTTCTTTTCACATTGATATTTCTTTCTCTTCATAGTCCATTAATTCTCTAGTCCTTTATAGTCTGGTTCAATACTCTGAAAATATTCTTGCTTAGTTTCCAGAAACCTTGGTATTGTCAGTCTTAGTAGATATTTTATGATCAGGATATTAGCAGATCTTTTAGCTCGACTTGTCATTTATCTTTCTAGAAACTTAATTTCCACAACGTCCTCAAACTAGATTTCAGCATTGGTGTGGATGCCATCTACTATTTGGACATTATAAATGTCCATGATGTTATGCTTTTGTATCTCTCCTTAACCTGTTTTAAGAACTTTTCTACTTATTCTGGGCTTTTCTTCTCTTTCCCTTGAACTATTGGTATTGCTGAGAGTTCTGTCCATAGCCTACCACTTGTCTTGCTCTGCATAATTGGTCATATGCCCTCCCCTTCTTCAGTCCTCCTTCACTCTCCCATGATGACCCCACTGCTTATGCTATAAAGGAAATATAAGCCATGAGACAAGAACTTCCCTTCCCCCAGGCTTTTCTTAATAGTCCTGAATTTTCTCAAAGTTACATTCTGGTTCCTCTTCTCTTTATAATATATACTCGTGCCATCTCACCTGTTTCTAATGACTACTGACAGCCCTGCTTGAATGTTTCTATGCACTGAAGTTGATCATCTCGATCCCCTGCCATGTCGTCTGTGCCTCCTATTTCTTCTGGGCCTGTATCATTAAATGGCACACTGTACTCCCAGCTACACCAGTGAACACTTTGAATTCATATTTATTCCTCTCTGATTTCCAGTATTTATATAACAAGTTCTAGCTTTTTTACTTCTCAGGTCATTCTGAAATGCATACTGTTTTTGGCAGTGCCAATAGCTTACTATTAATGTAAGTTATCAATATCTCCTCCTTACATTCCAGTGTTAATTTTGAACTGATGTTTGTCTTCAGTCTAGGCCCAGGACAGTCTGTTGGTTCATTATTTTGCTTTTTAAAAATCATTGTAGACCACACAAAGAGATGTCCACTCATTCTTGAATTATTAACTTGAGTGTATTCTTTTGAAGGTGAAGCTCTGCAGGGCCTTCCTATTTCAGTTCTCTTAATACGGCTTACAAGGCCTCTTTGTGATCTAACAGTGGACCTTGTATTTTACTTCATTTCTCATCACTGCTCCTCCACAATCCATATTCCTACTACCAAGGACTTTTCAGAGGCTGAGGGTTTAGTTCAGTGGTACAAGTAGCTGGCTGCTCTGGGAAGGCCTGGCTTCATTCCCCAGTACAACAGGAAGCAAAGCAATAAACGCTAACTTTTTGTAACTTTGTGCATGCTGTCTCTTTAATCTGAAACAGTTTCCCCCTTACTTTTACCATCACCTCTATCAGATTAACTCCTTTCTGCCCTCCATCAGGACTCATTATATCTGTGTATGTATCCTGAGCATCTGACATCTGACTCCAAATATTTTATAAATATAAACAACCATTTAGTTGCTTGAGGTTGAGGAATGCTTCCCCTTTAGTTGCTCCTGTAAACAACTCTATTACTCCCTATAGAACCCTGAAATTCTATAGAATGCAACTTGGGAAACAGTGCCCAACAATAATATACAAAACCTTAAAGTAACCCCTATCCTTTGTAGCTTGAGTTTTTCTCACCGGGTCCCGCCAAGCCCCGGCAGTCCCGTAGCCCACTTATAAAATAAACATATAAACACATATTATTTAAACTGCTTGGCCATTAGCTCAGGCCCACCATTGGCTAGCTCTTACTCTTATACTCAGCCCATTTCTGTTCATCTATATGTTGCCACGAGTTCCGTGGCTTTACCTGCTGCCTTTACATGATGCTCCCTGGACGGCAGGCTGGTGTCTCCCCTGTCTGTATGTTTATTTTATTTTATTTTTTGGTTTTTCGAGACAGGGTTTCTCTGTGTAGCTTTGCGCCTTTCCTGGAACTCACTTGGTAGCCCAGGCTGGCCTCGAAGTCACAGAGATCTGCCTGGCTCTGCCTCCCGAGTGCTGGGATTAAAGGCGTGCGCCACCACCGCCCGGCTTGTATGTTTATTTTATAAGTGGGCTGCGGGACTGCCGGGGTTTGGCGGGACCCTGAGAGAAAAACTCAAGCTACAATCCTTCCATGATGAGCTAACTCCTCCTACTTCTCCATTTCCATTTCTTTTACTGCTTGGTAAGATTTTTCATACCATAACATTGAAGTCTATGTGGTTTGCCCCTGCCTCCCCAACCTTCAGACTAGAATAATTATACATTTCCTGTCTACTTTAAAAAAATTATGTAAATGGGCATTTTGCCTGCATGTATGTCTTTGTAAGGTCTATGAGTGCCTGGTGCCTGTGGAGGCCAGAAGAGGGCATCAGATCTTTTGGAACTGGAGTTAAAGAAATTGGTGAGCCATCATGTGGGTACTGGAGACTGACCCTGGGTCCTCTGGATGAGACGCCAGTGCTCTTAATTGCTGATTTGTCTCTCTAGCCCTTCATTCATTTTTTTCCCTCCTGACCAATTTACTCATCATTTCAAGTCCAGTTAGCCACCAGCTCTTTCAGGCTACATTTATTTATTTATTTATCTATCTATCTATCTATCTATTTATTTATTTATTTATATTTTAATGCATTTGGGTGCTTTGTCTGCATGAATGTCTGTGCACCAATGTGTATACTTCAGATGGAATCAGATCCCCTGGTACTGAGTAAGCCACCATGTGGGTATTGGGAATGGAACCTGGGTCCTCTGGAAAATCAGCCAGTGCTCTTAAATACTGAGCCATTTCATGGTTAAAATTTTCTCATTTCAACATAGAATCTCATAAATACTGGAAGTGCCATTTAGTAGGCACACACAGGTACATAACCAAAAAACTAAGCCTCATACTCTAGTCATGTTTTTCCTTTCCCATTTATGTAATATTTCTATTGAGAATAATTCCTGATTAATCAGAATTCCTCATTGATAATTTTCTCCTCTTTCCCCCTTCAAAAGAAATTATGTACTTAAAAATATTTTTAGGGGTCTGGAGAGATGGCTCAGCTCAGCAATTGAGAGCACTTGTTCTTCCATAGGACCCACCAGGACCAGGTTCACTTCTCAGAATCCACATGGAGGGCCTATAACTGTCCATAACTCCAATTTCAGGGGATCCAATGTCCTCTTCTGACCTCCATTGGTACCAGAGTAGCATGTGGTACATGGACATGCATACAGGCAAAACACTCATACACATAAAATAAATTTAGAGATATTTTTAAAGGTTCTATTGGAGTAAAACCTTCTGTTGACCTCATCTTTCTTTCCTGTAGTCTCCATTCTAGCTGAAACAGAAGAAATCAAGGGCATTTTGAAGGACAAAGGAATTGATGTGGAGACCATTGCTGAAGTGTACCCCATCAGAGTACAGCCAGCTCGTATTCTCAGCCACATTTATTCCAGTCTAGGTAAGGAGATTGGCCAGCCTGCTAGAATCAAAGTATTATGTGACACTGGCTGGTTTCTTTCCACCACCACCACCTACTTCTTTAGTTGGTATTGCTTTATTACATCAGATCCAAGAAGGAATTTAGTCTCTGGAATCCATGTTTCTGAACGTACACTTTTGTGAGCAGGCTTGATAGTTTTAGGTGTGCTTTATGCATCCTTTGGCATGGAGGACATGCTCATTTTCAGACAATACTATATCCTCATTCTAAATGTATATTTACTACCGTTTTCTCCCCATTCTTAGAACCCGTATTTCTGTTTTGAATACATGCTAATTTTATGTAGAGTAGCGAGCAAGGAACTTGTTTTAGGTCTTTTATACTTTGTCATGTAATGAACTAGTTATTAACATAGTTCCTTAGTTTAATATCTTTTTGTAAACAGTTATATTTATTCTTTTATTAAATTTAATGACATAATTTTTACATTAAACAAATTGTGACACTGTTAACTAAAAAAGATACAGGGGCTGGGAGTCTATAGCTTAGTGACAGAATACTTGCCTAGCATGCACAAACCCTGAGTTCTGGTCTTACTACTATAAAAAGGATATGCAAAATTTCTAAACATCTTTGCAAGAGACTGAAACCATCCCTTCCCCCCAGATATCCAGGTCCTGGTCTCTAGTATCTATGAACATTACCTTATATGGAAAAAATAATTTTGCAAGTGTAGTTAAATTAAGGAACTTGAGATGAGACTATTACTGTAGATTATTGATGTGGACTCCAAATACGATTATAGGGACAGATCAGTTTACAGAACTAGCTTTCATTTAACAGAAATAAAGGACTGGGTATGTTAGTCAGGTTTTTCTAGAATGACAGAACTTACAGAATGAATGATATATATATATGATTTATTAGAATGGCTTACAGGCTGTGGTCCAGATAGTCCAACAATGGATGCCTACGAATGGAAGGTCCAAGAATCCAGTAGTTGTTTAGGTCACAAGGCTGGGGCTCTCTTGTGGTCTTCAGTACACAACAGAATCCCTAAGGAGTAAGCTCTAATGCCAGTGAAGGGATGAACTTGCTATGGAGAACAAGAGCAAGCAGGCAAAGAGAGAGCAAGCTTCCTTCTTCCATGTCCTTTATATAGGCTGCCAGCAGAAAGTGTGGTCCAGATTAAAGGTGGATCGTCCCACCTCAAAAGATATGGATTAAAGGTGTGTCTTCCCACCTTAAAGATGCAGATTAGAAGTGAATCTTTCTGCTTCAAATGATTAAGCAAAAATTCTTCACAGGTGTGTCCATCCATTTTTGGGGTTTTACTTAATTCTGGATGTAATAGCCTTCATAAGTCCACCAGTTGTCAACTTGACACACAATCATATCTCCTTATGTCATGATTAATTTCCAAATGAAAAACAATAACCAGATCATAATTATGCCTAGCACAATAGAACTATCCTACATACAATCACACACTCATTATGTATTTAATCAGGTCATAATTATGCCTAACATAATATGACTATCCCTCATACAACTGCAAACACATTATAAATTTAGAATAGATAGCAATGTAACTTGAAGGATATCCTTTTATTATCTCAAACTTAAATATTACAACCATTGACATTCTCTTAATTGTTGTCACATCACCTGATAGAGAAATTGAGGAAAGAAAACACAAATATCTCTACAAATGCATTCTTAACAAAATATGACAGAAACATGTCAATTATAATTGTCATTTATGCAACTGGTCACATGACTTTAGCTGGTATTTAACTAGTTTCCTCTACTACCCTTTCTGTATTTCTTCCACCATCAACAAGCACCTCAGCAGGTCTTGGCTCTTTTCCTGGAGGACTCACCCATACCTTCTTTCCTGAAGGGTCTGTGCCCTTGGTCATCCTTCCTGGATTAGGTAGATGTAGTTTCCATCTTTAATCGTGGGACACGGTAACATCAAGAGATACCCTATAGCATCTCCTGTATTCCAGACAGAATATTTCTTACCTTCATTGCTGAGAAGCAATCGAATGTCCGTTTAGTAATCTGAATCAATCACCAATCCTAACACTGGTATTCCTTCTTAGCCTGTTGGTTTAAGGGTATCAGAAGCCCAGAGTGTCCAGGGGGAGTCTGAGCTTCCAGATCAGTAATGTTTGTTGTGGCTCCTTCTAGAGAACCCTGCTCCTGTAGTTAGAGTTTTTCTCTCCGGGTCCCACCAAACCCCGGCAGTCCTGTAGCCCACTTATAAAATAAACATACAGACACTTACATTATTTAAACTGCTCGGCCATTAGCGCAGGCCTACTATTGTCTAGCTCTTACTCTTATACTCAGCCCATTTCTGTTAATCTATATGTCACCACGTGTTCCATGGCTTTACATGCTGCCTTTACATGCTGCTACCTGGATGGCAGGCTGGTGTCTCCTCCCTCTGCCTTCCTGTTCTCTCATTTCTCCTCTCTGCTAGTCCCACCTATACTTTCTGCCTGGCTACTGTCCAATCAGTATTTTATTTATCAATTGATCATCCACAGCATTGTTCCAACCCTTGAGGTTTCTGTGACTTAATTGGCACTGTAACTGTGTCTTCAAAAGGCCTTCCCATATTTCTGTCAGGCCAGCTGCTTTCAGAATGGTAGGAACATGGTAAGACCAGTGGGTTGCATTATTGCAGGCCTACTGTCACACTTTTTTGGCTGTGAAGTAAGTTCCTTGGTCAGAAACAATACTGTGTGGAATACCACGGATAAGGCATTCTGCAAGTCCATGAATGGTGGTTTTGGCAGAAGCAATACGTGCAAGAAAGGCAAAGCCATAATCAGAGTAAGTAACTACTCTAGTAAGGAAAAAGTGTTGTCTTTTCTATGGAGGGCATGGTCCAATGTAGTCAGCCTGCCATATCTGTGGCTCAGTGGTGGTCTCTGTTGTTCCTAGATCTGGCACTCAGCAGCAGTTGTAGCCAGGTCAGCCTTGGTGAGTGGTAGACCATGTTGCCAAGTCCAGACTGGCCTCAAACTTGTGATCCTCCTGCCTCCACCTCCTTCAGCAAATCCTACCAGTGTGTGATATCATAACTGGCTAATAGTCTGGCCTATTAAGCTCTGCTTAAAGTATTCAACTGCTTTCCTAATCTAGAGTCCCAAAGTATATTGTACCAGCAAGCAGCATGATCAGGCCTGTCATAGCAGTACCCTGCTCCCTGGTATCAACTTCTGTCTTGATCACTGTTCTATTGCTGTGAAGAGACACCATGACCACAGCAACTCTTACAAAGGAAAGCATTTTATTGGGACTTGCTTACAGTTTCAGAGGTTTAGTCCATTATCATCATGGCAAGAAGCATGGTGGCATGCAGGCAGACATGGTGCTGGAGAAGTAACTGAGAGTTCTACATCAGGATCCTCAGGCAGCAGGAAGGGAGAGTCACTGGGCCTGGCTTGGGCTTTTTAAACCTCAAAGCCCTCTTTAGTAATACACTTCCTCTAACAAGGCCACACCTCTTAATCCTTTCAAATAGTTCTACTCCCTGATCTATGAGCTTATGGGGGCTGTTCTTCAAACCACCAAATTGGGGTTGTATTGCTATGGGGAATGTTCATAGCCTTTTGAAATCAAGATTGGCAAGGAATGAATTCTTTCCAGAAGGAACCAACTGTATTTATACCTTATTTTGATTTTTAAATTCTAAATTTAGGACTTTGGACTATATTCAGATTTGAAGGCTTTGGGTAAATGATGATGGCTCAACCAGGAAAGTATATATGACTATTCCCATTTTAAAATGTAAAACACTTCAGGTTCCGAGCATTTAGGATAAAGAATATTCTACCTGTACCAGCAGAAATATTCCAGCTTAGACTGAAAGAGACAGATGGTAAACACAGGACAAGCTGGAAGAAGTCTTTTGGATTTCCAGAATTCTCCAGTGGGGAAGCAGACTGATGAAACTGCTCAGCTGCAAGCACATGCTACCTTCCAAATAAAAAGATTAACTCAAAGGGCCTTGAGGTGGAATTTTGGCTCAGAGAGGGGGCCATCAAGCTACAGAGGACTACTGCTAAGCCTTGAAATACAATGACATGCCTACTTGGGTCTCAAAATTTCTTGGTACTGCTAACTCTTCCTTTTATTTTCTCTTTTTTATAATGAGAGTGCCCATTGTTTATAACCAGTCTTGTCCTGCTACTGCATTTGAGGAGCAGAAATTGTATTTCCTAGTTATAATGGTCCACAAATGGAAAGGAATCTTGTCCCAGGATGGCCCATACCCAGATTCTCATTCATACCTCATTAAAGTATATTGGATTTTGGGGCAGATGATATTGGGAAGATGCTGAACTTGGTCTGGTGCTATTATATGTTAAAGAGTTTGGGAGTTGTTGAGATGAGATGAATGCATTTTACATGTGAAAGGAATGTGTATCCTTGGGGCCCAAGGGGCAGACTGTGGAACAATGAGTAATGTCTCACCTCAGACATATATTCATAATCCTGGAAACCTATGAGCACTATGTTATGTGTCAAAGAAGACTTAGCAAACATAATTAAGGATTTTGAGATGTGGGAGAATATTCTTCCAATCTCAGTCATCTAGTGGTCCCTAAATGTAATCACACATATTTCTTTAAAAGGGAATCAAGAAGAAGATCAGACTATAGAAGTAGGAGTTTTGATGACAGAAGCAGGAGATGGAAGTGGTGAGGCTATGAACAAAGGAATATAAATATCTAGATCCTGAAGTGTAGAAACTGGAAGAGCCAATAAATGGATTTCTCCCTGGATACTTAGGTTTTGAGTTTTAGCTCTGTAATGCCCATTTTGGACTACTAATCTCTAGCACTGATAAGGGTTTGTGTTGTTTTTTTCTAAACTTTTAAATTACATTTGTTTACTCATTTTAGTGTGTGTGTGTGTGTGTGTGTGTGTGTGTGTGTGTGTGTGTGTGTGTATTCATACTCATGCCACGGTGCATGCATGAAGGTAAGATGACAACC